CAGATGTTCCCCAAACGCTCCCAAACTCCCTTTTGGTGCCATATTCCCTGTAAACTTCATTAAATAAGACAAACTCGATGCATTTGAGACTTTACCAACGTTTACCCAGAAGTGTACCAAGTTCATTCAAATTTTAGCATCGCACGCGTGCGCATGTGAATGCATGTGCGTAATGACCATATAATCTTGCCTATACAATCTATATATTTAAATATACTAAATATTAAAGTATTTAATCCAAAAGTATTAAAAAATACGCTCATTCAAGTGTATTTTTGATTTTACTCATTTCACGTGCACGCATGTGCATACATGAGTATGGTAACCATACCTTCTTGTAAAAGTCCATTACATCTATCTATGTTCTAAATCCCACCCCGTTAGGTTGAAAACCAAGGGACTTATAGCTGTTTAAAGTTTCAGCCAATCTGATTGCAGCGCACGTACACGCATGTGTATGTATGTGCATGGTGACCATACCTTCTTGTAGAAGTCCATTATATCTATCTATATTCTAAATTCCATCCTGTTTGGTTGAAAACCGAGGGAGTTATAGCTATATAAAGTTTCAGCCAATCAGATTGCAGAACACGTGCATGCGCATGCTTTCTTGAAAATTCTTATATATCAGGCTGTGGATCTTTGAAATGTAGGACTATGTTCAAAATTTCAAAGGATTATGACAAGAAACAAGAAAGATATTGAGACTTTAGTTTCAGCCAATCAGAGCGAAGCGCACGTGCAAGCGCGTGAGATCTTGCTATTTTGACCATGTCATCATGTCTATACTACTAATATATCCTCACATTATGAGTTTCAAAGCAACTCATCAAAAAATAAAAAGTTTCCGCTATATCGATTATATTGGTCATTTTACGTGTTGCACGTGCACGCTCTTGCAAGCACGTGCGCGCAAAATGACCTTCATTCCGCAAATCTACATAACATGTCTACTTACCCTAAAAATATTTTACCTACATCGGACGAACAGTTTACAAGATCATTCCCGGACAAAAAAGTACCCAGGAAGAAGAAGAAGAAGAAAAATAATAATAATAAGAAACAGAGTAAAAACAATATGTTCCCCAACTTCGTTTGGGGAACATAACTAGTGCTAATTGTAACGGGAACCGTTACAGATGTTCCCCAAACGCTCCCCAACTCCCTTTTGGTGCCATATTCCCTGTAAGCTTCATTTAATAAGACAAATTCTGGTAATTTAGACTTAAACAAAATTTACCCAGAGGGATACCAATTATATTCAAATTTTAGCATTGCGCCCGTGCGCATGTGAATGCATGTGCGTTATGACCATATCATCTTGTCTACACTATCTATATATTTAAATATACTATATATCAAAGCATTCAGTCCAAAAGTATTAAAAATCACTCATTTAAGTGTATTTTTAATTTCACTCTTTCCAAATGCACGCACGTGCGTGCACGTGCATGATGACCATACCTTCTTGTAGGAGTTCCTTATATTTATCTATGTTCTGAATCCCATCCTGTTTGGTTGAAAAACAAAAGAGTTGTAGCCATTTCAAGTTTCAGCCAATCAGATTGCAGCACACGTGCATGCTCGTGATTTCATGAATTTTTTTGTATATCATATTGCAGGGTATTCTAAAGTATGACTATATTTTAAATTTCAAAGCATTTCGTCAAAAAACAAAGGGGGATTTAGCCATTTAAAGATTCAGCCAATCAGAATGCAGCACACGTGCATGCGCGTGATTTCTTTAATTTTTCTGTATATCATATTGCAGGGTATTCTAAAGTATGACTATATTTTAAATTTCAAAGCATTTCATTCAAAAACAAAGGAGATATAGCCTTTTAAAGTTTCAGCCAATCAGATTGCAGCACACGTGCATGCGCGTGATTTCTTGAAATTGTTTTGATATCATATTGTAGAATATACTAGTTCATTACTATATTTAAAATTTCAAAGCATTTCGTCAAAAAACAAAGGAGATATTGAGAATTTTGTTTCAGCCAATCAGAGCAAAGCGCACGTGCATGCAAGTGAATGGTGACCATACCATCTTGTAGGAGTCCTTTATGTCTATCTATGTTCTAAATCCCATGCTGTTTGGTTGAAAACCAAGGGAGTTATAGTCATTTAAAGTTTCAGCCAATCAGATTGCAGCGCACGTGCATGCGCGTGATTTCATGAAAAATTTTATATATCATATTGTAGAACATCCTAATACATGTCTATGTTATAAGTTTCAAAGCATTTCATCATAAAACAAAAAAGATATTAAGGATTCTGTTTCAACCAATCAGAGCAAAGCGCACGTGCATGCGCGTGAGTTCATGCAAATTTGACCATGTCATCTTATGTACACTACTAATATATATTTATATAATGAGTTTCAAAACATTTTATCAAAAAATATAAAAGTTACAACCATATTAAATATATCAGTCAGTTTACTCATTGCACGCGCCCGCACGTGCATGCGAATGCGCGCAAAATGACCTTCGTTCGGCACATCTACACAACATGCCTACTAACCCTAAAAAGGTTTTAACTTAGTTTGGTGAACAGTTTCTGAGAACACTTCCGGACAAAAAAGTACCGGAGAAGAAATAAGAAGAAAAAAGAATAATAACTAGTGCTAATTGTAACGGGGACCGTTACAGATGTTCCCCAAATGCTCCCCAAATCCCTTTTTGTGCCTTATTCCTGTAATACATTTTTTTATTTGCTCAGTGTCAACGGATTCTATTTAAGAATATAAAAATTACAATGATATCAACTACATGTATAAATCATTTAACGTTTCACATGTGCGCGCACGCGCATGCATATGCAAGATAATCATGGCATGTTGGCTAAAGAATTCCTGAGAATCAAAAGAAATATTACAGATATAAATGTTACTATTTTTCAAGTATTTTAGTCATTTTACGCATTGCGCATGCGCACGTGCTTGCACGTCCATGCTTTTAATTTTGATAGTAGCATAATGTAGGAATCTATTATACCTATTCATATTCATGATTTATTGAGAATTAAGAAAGTTATAGGCATTTAAAGTTTAAGCCGATCAGATTGAAGCGCACGTGCATGCATGTGCTTTCCTGAAAATTCTTGTTGATCATGTTGTAGAACCTTTTAATGTATGACTATATTTAAAATTTCAAAGTATTTTGTCAAAAAACAAGAAAGATATTGAGACTTAAGTTTCAGCCAATCAGAGCGAAGCGCATGTGCATGCGCGTGAGTTCATGATAATTTGACCATATCCTGTTGTCTATAGTACTAATATATACTTATATTATTAATTTTAAAACATTTCATCAAAAAATGTAAAGTTACAGCTTCATCTATTATATTGGTCATTTCACGTGTTGCACGTGCGCGCTCTTGCAAGCACGTGCGCGCAAAATGACCTTGATTCCGCAAATCTACATAACATGTCTACTAACCCTAAAAAGATTTTACCTACATCGGATGAACAGTTTATAAGATCATTCGCGGACAAATAAGTGCCCAGGAAGAAGAAAAATAATAATAAGAAACAGAGTAAAAACAATATGTTCCCCAACTTCGTTTGGGGAACATAATAACTAGTGCTAATTGTAACGGGGACCGTTACAGATGTTCCCCAAACGCTCCCCAACTCCCTTTTGGTGTCATATTCCCTGTAAGCTTCATTAAATGACAAACTCTATGCATCTGAGATTTTAACAACATTTACAAAGAAGTGTACAAAAATCATTTAAACTTTAGCATTGCACGCGTGCACATGTGAATGCATTTGCGTTATGACCATATCATCTTGTCTACACAATCTATATTTTTAATACACTGAATATTAAAGTATTTAATCCAAAATTATTTAAAAAATACGCTCATTCAAGTGTATGTTTGATTTTACTCATTTCACGTGCACGCACGTGCATACATGAGCATGGTGACCATACCTTCTTGTAGAAGTCCATTACATCTATCTATGTTCTAAATTCCACCCCGTTTGGGTGAAAACTAAGGGAGTTATAGCTGTTTAAAGTTTCAGCCAATCAGATTGCAGCACATGTACACGCACGTGTATGCATGTGCATGGTGACCATACCTACTTGTAGAAGTCCATTATATCTATCTATATTCCAAATCCCATCCTGTTTGGTTGAAAACCAAGGGAGTTATAGCTGTTTAAAGTTTCAGCCAATCAGATTGCAGCGCACGTGCATGCACGTGTTTTCATGATAATTGCTTTACTTCATGTTATTGAATATCCTAATGCATGGCTATGTTCAAAGTTTCAAAGGATTTCGTCAAAAAACAAGAAAGATATTGAGACTTTAGTTGCAGCCAATCAGAGCGAAGTGCACGTGCATGCGCGTGAGATCTTGCTAGTTTCACCATGTCGTCATGTCTATACTACTAATATATCCTCACATTATGAGTTTCAAAGCATTTCATCGAAAAAAAGAAAAGTTGTGGCTATATATATTATATTGGTCATTTCACGTGTTGCACGTGCACGCTCTTGCAAGCACGTGCGCGCAAAATGACCTTGATTCCGCAAATCTACATAACATGTCTACTAACCCTAAAAAGGTTTTACCTACATCGGGCGAACAGTTTACAAGATCATTCCCGGACAAAAAAGTTCCAGGAAGAAGAAGAAGAAAAATAATAATAATAATAAGAAACAGAGTAAAAACAATATGTTCCCCAACTTCGTTTGGGGAACATAATAAGAAACAGAGTAAAAACAATATGTTCCCCAACTTCGTTTGGGGAACATAATAAGAAACAGAGTAAAAACAATATGTTCCCCAACTTCGTTTGGGGAACATAAATATTCAAATTGAAGGCCACAGTAGCAGAGAGCAAAATTCTACCGTGTAGAAGTCTTTGAATAATCTCTGCTTCAAAGTAGAAAACAATAAAGCAGGTAAGACAAAAACACACGAAGTATGAAATTTTATTTAAAAATGATTTTTTTCCCTCGTTCTGAATGTGTTTCAGAAAAAAGGCTACCCAAATATATGAACCATATCGGGTTGCTCGACACAATGAAAAGAAACCTCCAAGTATTTGTCGACACCGACACATGGTTCCCTGAAGATGGTGCTGTTAGCTGACAGTCTACAGCGTCTATAGCCGTTACAGGACCACTTAGCACGGTCTGTGGAGAAGTGGGACTGACACTGAAGAGAACCAAGGTTACTTGAAGGACAAATGTCATTTGTGAGTCTTCCATACACGGCAGAGAGAATTCGGATTAGCTTCCCTACTTCACATTGAATGTAACCCGTTTGTCCTTCACACAACACAAATGATTGCCCTAAAAAGTCATGTTTTAGATGTATTAAAAGCTTTGACATATACATGCATCAATTTAACTTTTACCAAAAAAGATCAACAAGAGGCCCAGGGGCCACAACGCTCACCTGAGCTCAGGCAATGTAAAACAAAAAAAGCAAAAATCAGTTCAGTATTGAAAAAACTTAAACATATAAGTGGGTTCAAGTGGGGGTCATGATTTGAACAAACTTGAAACTACACCAAATCAAGATGCTTTCATATAACAATGACCAATCATGCATGGCTATGCTGCTCTTGAGAAGAAGAATTTTCAAGATTTTCCCCATGTATTCCTATGTTAAACTTTGATCCGCAATTGTGGCCCCATCCTACCCCCGGGGGTCATGATTTGAACAAACTTGAATCTACACATACTACCAGAGGATGCTCCCACATTGCTGCTCTTGAGAAGAAGAATTTTCAAGATTTTCCCCATGTATTCCTATGTTAAACTTTGATCCGCAATTGTGGCCCCATCCTACCCCTGGGGGTCATGATTTGAACAAACTTGAATCTACACATACTACCAGAGGATGCTCCCACACGAGTTTTAGTTTTCATGGCCCAGTGGTTCTTGACAAGAAGATTTTCAAAGATTTTCCCTATGTATTCCTATGTAAAACTTTGACCCCGCCCCCATCATGGCCCCACCATACCCCTGGGGGGGGGGGGTCATGCTTTGGACAAACCTGAATCTGTTTTACCTGAGGATGCTTCCACATAAGTTTCAGCTTTCCTGGCCTACTGGTTCTTGAGAAGAAAAATTTTAAAGTTTTCCCCCATGTATTCTTATGTTAAACATTGATCCCCCATAGGCCCCATCCTACCCCTGGGGGTCATGATTTGAACAAAATTAAATCTGTTCTACCTAAGGATGCTTCCATATGAGTTTCATCTTTCCTGGTTTTTCAAGATTTCCCCTATGTATTTCTATGTAAAACGTTGACCCCTCCATCATGGCCCCACCATATTCTCGGGGGGGGGGGGGGTCATGATTTTAATAAAAATGAATCTGCAAAACCGTAGGATGCTTCCATATGAGTTTCAGGTTTTGAAGCCCAGTGGTTTTTGAGAAGAAGATTTTTAAAAGATGCCTTTAATTTTTCACTAATTCATAATTATCTCCCCTTAGAAGAAGGTGTGGCCCTTCATTTGGACAAACTTGAATCCCCTTCGCCCAAGAATACTTTGTGGCTAGTTTGGTTGAAACTGGCCTAATGGTTCTTGAGAAGAAGATGAAAATGTGAAAAGTTTACAACGACGCCAACGACAACAACGACGACAGACAACGGAAAATTTTTGATCAGAAAAGCCCACTAGAGCCTTCGGCTCAGGTGAGCTAAAAATCAGTAAAAGCAACTTTCAAGAGAAATGTAATCTACCTGAAAAAGTGTTCAAGTAATGTTGAGTGGGCTGCACTGATGTTGTTGTACTTGAAATATTACATGCACTCGATGTAGATGAGTGAAACTGTGCCTATTTAAACAAAACTATATGTTTTGTAAAATATTTCAAACAATGTGTTTATGTGAAAATATGGAAAATATCAAATCATAAAAAAACCCTGAAAAACGTAAGATATTTCGGACTACTATAAAGACATGTTCCAATTCTGAGAAATGTTTGCAGCTTAAGGTAGTCTGATCCTCAGATTTATAAAATTAAAAGTTAAGTAATCTAAAATACTCATAAAAGCATCTCAGAATCAACAAAGTTATGTAATTTTATCCACATTATTTCTTTAAAATTTAAGATAAAAGTTAATCATATTATATAGGGAAAATTGTCAAATCTCCAATATTTTTGCAGGAAAAGCGAATTGAAATATCAGCAATGCATTTTCTATAATTGCAGATTGATCAACAAATATATTTTAGGTTAAAAATCGATAGGTATCCAGGCATTCAGAGAAATTGTCCTGATTTTTATACTAATTTGGTACTTAATGTCTTCTATTTCCGTCATGTATTCTTTAATACATAGTGTTTTAGGCTTTTGCCATCATTGCAAGACACCACAAATCACTTCTTATTTCATGACATGCTAATAAGCATTTGTATCTAAAGCTAGATTCAAGAAAATCTTATTTCTATAAAACTGTATTCATTTTTTTCCTTTTATAGGGTACAAATGTCATTTTTTTTAAAGACCTTTTCTAAGACTTTGAAACGCCTTGAATTTTATAAAGATGAATAAAATGAAAATTGTTGCATGAAAAAATTTCATTTTTAAGCTTCATTTTGATGCATTTCAAATTAAATATGAAGTTATCCTTCCTAGCTGAGGATCGGATATCCTTAAGATAGATATCAAGTTTCTTGTGATCGTTATACAGGTAAATGTAAATAATTGAACTTACATTATACATGTAGTTTTTAAAGAATTCAGAATGCAAAAAGCCCATAGAAAGTCATTGAACTTTGAACCTGTAAAAAAGCTGTAACAGACACGGTTGAGGTCAGACTTGGAGAACCATGGTCATGCGCAGTAACAACTAGTTCTAGTCTTCCACCAGGGATAGAGGATAGCTGGTCACGTGTCAGAGGGTTCACGACCCGGATGGACCCAGTAGTGCTGCTAATGGTGAAATGTTTGTCTAGGGTGTCTGGTCGAGGAAGAAGAGAGTACGTTATCAAACTGTTAGCTGTACCAGGTTCGTCGTAATCAAATGCCTAAAATAAGTAATCAAGGCAAGTAGGCTTACTGTTCATGCAACGACATACATGTATCTACAAAGACATAATTAAGGTAGAGAATATTTATATCATTGTGTGAATTGTTTCAAAGTAATTCATTGGGTTGTTATATAAAGAAGTAATTGTTAATTATTTTCATCGTATAAAATTCTTGGATCTATTTTTGCATTTTATAATGTACATGCAATATTTTAGCTCTTGAAGGGTTTATTCAAGATAATATTGTTGATAATAACATCGGTATATAAGCAGCTAGTAGCGATAAACAGTTGCCGAAGTATAATGTTAAGCTGTTTACGTTGTCATTGATTCCATTGTAACTTTTCGAAAATAATGAAAAATTGATCTGAAAAAATTCTATTCATCTTTTATGTGGTACATATCAACACTAAAATCTCGTGTTCTGGTTTTATTTAAATGTTCACTCGTCAAACGCAATGAAACTTACATCCCCATTACTATCCGGAGTCGCAGTGGTTAGAACGTTTGCTCTTGAGTCGCCAAAAAAAGATTTAATCCTTAACGTCGACGGTTCGAATCCCACAGTAGAACGTAAAGACCAGTCCGTGAAAAAACCTAGGTCCCGTGTTCCAGTAGGTAATGGTTCAAAAGAATTCCCCACTGATCAAAGTTCATAAGTGGTGAGTACAGGCCCGTACGAAACAGTCCGGGCGGCTTAGACACGGCTGAGGCACGGATTCCGTTCCAGAAACCCGTGCTTATAAAATTCCTGCTCCTATGTAAAGTATGTATGGAAAGCCGTGCCTGAAAGGGGTCGAGGCACGGACACGGCACGGGATATTGGCCGAAATATTTAAATGAGATCACACGGTTTTGCAAACTCCGTGTCAGAAAGCAGTGCTTATTTCCATATATGGACTCGCGGATTCTGTAAACCCGTGTCTGAAACCCGTGTCCTTTTCCATATATGGGGAAACGGATTTTTGGAAACCCGTGTCAAAAAAGCCATGTGACATACCATAGAAGGAGTCAAGGGATCTGTGCTTTTGTCTATCTAGGTCAGGGCCTGTAGAGAATCTCCTGATGTTACTGTATGTGGATGCCAATATGGCGACTGAAACCAAACTTCACAATGCTTTACAATATCATTATGCTTACCGTAGCTTTAGATTTTTAAAAGTTGAAAATCTAATATGAATGTGTCCTGATTTACTTTCTGTTAAAGATTCAGAATTTATCAGTTACAATCCATGCACAGGGGCCGGTAACATACTGTATTTGATTTTACGTATTCACTATATGTATACAAAAGTCTCTTTTTGTATACATATAGTGAATACGAAAAATCAAATACAGTATGTTACCGGCCCCTGTGAATCCATGCTAGATTTTAATTAAGAATTTAATTCATAATGTACAATTCTGGGAATTGTAATTTTATCTTAGTTTGGACAATCTGAGAAAAAATTAATTTAATTTAAAGAAACCTTTTTGTAGCACAGTGATGACACATAAAATATTTGGGGATTAATTAGTGAGAGCACAACTTTTTAAAAGAGTCATTCAAATAAACAGAGATGCAGTGTTTCATCATGTTCAATATCAACATTGCAAATACAGAGAGATCATGAAAATTGAAAATGAACTAATATTTATTCTATTTTAGACTTACTGCATTTAGTTTAAAAGTGAGGAAATCCTCCAAGACTGACATAAATACAATTCCAGCTGATATCTATTAATTATCCTTTAACTAGAGTAAAAAAGACACATTCTTAGCTCATGACCATGAATCCCTCCAATTCAATATTCAAATAAAGGAAGTTATGATTGAGCATGCTCAGTTAAAAGCCGTGAGATATGAATAAATAGTTTGAAGCAAAATCCGTCTGAGTTAAAAACCGTCTCCCAGGGACACGGATCCCTTGCCTCCATACGGGTATCTGTGAGCCGTGATTCCTCACTTTCAGACTCAAAAGCCGTGTCCGTGTCTTGGACATGTAGATCCCGTGCCGCTGTTTAAAAATCCGTGCGGATTCCGTGCCTTAGCCATGCCCAAGCCGTGCCTATTCCGCATCGAACTTTCGTACGGGAGTCTAAATTTGCAGGACTCCATCGGTATTGTTACAACAGGTAAAAATGAATTATAGATAAAAGGATAAAAATTCATTGCTTGGTTGTCATACCATTTTGAGTGGTAACAATCAACAGTAGCAATAAAAAAAAATCACCGTACTTATTCCACCCCTCCCCCCCCCCCCCCCCAAAAAAAATCGATTATATGACCTACATGTACAGTGAAGTTATTCCTTCCTGAGATTAATGAAGAGTTTTCTGTGATCCCAAATTCATATTTTGGCTGTAAAAACATCGGACTGTTGTCGTTTACATCCATGAGTGTTATTTTCACAGGAGCAGACGACACCTTTCCTCCACCATCTCTTGCTTCAACTGACATATAGTAAACTCTCTGTCTTTCCCTGTCCAAGCAACTGCTGTTACATGCCACTGATATTACTCCAGTCTCAGAGTTGATGCTGAACCTGGAATTCACATAAAACTCTTCTCATGTTTAATTTTAATGAAATGAAACACGGAGATAACGAACAGTATTCAAGATCAAAAGTCCATAAAACAATACAAAATAGGAGAGCATATCAGAGCAAAAACGAACCTCTAAAACATCTGAGGTTGGATCAGGTGCCATGGAGGAGTGAGCATCCCCTGTCGACCTGTCATACCTGCCGTGTGCTCCTTGTCATGATCGGGATATAACGGAAAAATCCCTCGTCAATTCAGTGTATAAATGATGGACCAACAATTAACTAATACTAGTATGAAAAAACGTCAATCAGCATTTGACTTGATGATAAATTTGCTGACAATGTCATTGTATCGACTATAAAACTTGCGAAATGATGACTTTAAACGTCACTTCTAATATTCTTGTTTCATCAACGTGGTTATCAATTTACCTCGTTTTAAAAAAAATTGTTCATACGTATTAAATAAACTACTGCAAATGGGTTGATTTGCAGTATAAATGATGTACAATCAATCAGTATTTCTAAGCTTAAAACTTACTAAGCTTAATTAAATCTAATTTATATAAACTATGGCTTACAAATTATCTGTTTCTGATAACGTGAATTGAACCATTCCATAATTTCCAGTATCCATATCATGGGCCTAGAATTAAAACATATAAATATGTTACAATACACGATTAATGAGCGAAAATATAAGATTGATCAACAATCTCCTATTCACTATAATTTACATACAGAAATATTGATGTTAATTATTTAATCCTTTTAGTACAATTTTTAAGTGTTAATGAAGTTAACATATTTCAAATGAAGACTTTTAGAATTGTAAATGAAATATAAAAAAATGCTTGAAAGTATCATAAGGTTACACGTTTACTCCAGAAAATGCTAACTGATTACATGTACCTGTACATTTGCTATCAGAGTTCCATATTTTGAGTTTTCTGGAATCATGAAACTATAGGCGCTTGAAACGAATTGTGGGTAAAATTTGTTAGTTTCGTTGATGTGAACCATCACTTGACAAGAGCTAGACCGTCTTGGTACACCTCTGTCTACAGCCTTCACCTGGAAAAATTTATTGAACCTTTTTCGTACGAAAGACAGTCATGACATTTAACGATAATTATTGTAAATCAAACTAGTAATATTGAAGAGATAAAAATTATAAAGGATATTCTTTCAAGGTTTCTGAAAATCTATTCACTCTACCTTTTCTCTCGTTTCAGCTGACTTTATAAACTACATACCCTTGCGAGAAATGAAATGCTTTGTCTTGTATACATGCTTCGACAGTAATTATTTCGCATTTTTTTTTTGCTACAAACCACTTACAGATATGTTTAACATGGTCAACCATGCATCAAAAGTAATATTATTGACGAGTCTTAGTTGTACTGATCCACTGGAATAAATTGTGGACGGATAGGCATCAACCAAAAACAGTCTCCCACCATTGCCAAAGTCTACAGAGACTTCTAAATCCACAATGCTGTTGTTACCCTATAAAGAAACATGTGGAATATTTTTAAATTAAAGGTAGTTGTCTATCTAGTTTTTCTTCTCGAATATGTTAAATTTTAGCTAAGGAAAAATGATAGATTATATAACAAGTGGACAATACGTGAGTTAAGGTAAGTCACTCCTGAAATTTGTTATATCAAGGATTTTTTGAGAAGTATATTTTGGATAAGTACTCAAAAAGTGTAACTCAAAATCGCAGAGAAAATAGGGGGTCAGTGTGCATCCTACTGATCTACGGTACATTTAAGTTGACCTTTTTGCACTTAAATTTCATCTCTTTGGTTAATTACTTTAACCCTTATTATATTTGATCAAATGTAAGCATGCCAATAAATATAATCTTATCTTACGTAAAATAGTTTGAATAATATTTATCATTAAACAAATCTTGCAAATTAATGCGCGTAAATTATTGTGTGACCTTTTTGCACTAAAAAATAACATTTTTGGGGTATTAAAAAACTTAATAGGCAATAAAAAATTTTCTTATATCAAACTTTTTACGACTTTAGTGCTGATCAGTCACAAGTATCGAGTAGTTTAAAATAATGAAAGAAAAAGGTGGGGTCAGGGATGTTAATTTTGAAATATTTGTCAAAATATGTGATTTTCAGGCAAAAAATATTGTAAATTTGATCTTGACTTCTTTGATATATTTTCATTTTTTGGAAAAGTTTTTTGAGGGAAGGTGTAAAACTTAGTCTAAAAATATAAATTAAGACCTATATTAAATATTTTTAGCAATATCAAAACGGAAAATATTCTCCGAGTAAAAGTATGTGAGGCTAAATTTCCATTACATTAAATTTTATAAATGTGCAGATTTGTAGAATTTTCTGCTAAATATCCTTCCACCAAAAGAAATAGTCCCTCATAAATCTTGCTTCTTTGTAGATTTTTGAGCAGTTTTTTCATTGAATGTTAAAAAATGTACATTGTTGAATTCAAATATGTTATAAAAATTGAATTTTAATAAGTAGTTTTGAAGTAAAAGCTTCTGCGTGAACTTTTCTAAAAAGCTGACGAGAGACTTACCTTAAATTCATTTTACAAATAGATAAAACAAATTTCCTAGATACACATTGTGGCAAGAAAATGTACACGATCATTAAAAGGAATTAATATTTCAATTTTGAATAATGTCTTTTTATATGTTAATTTGGGGATGACCAATTGCAGAAAAAGTAGACAAATGCTTATAAAAATAGCAGTGATTATGTACGTGCTTTCTTTCTCTATTCCTCTGGGGCATACAGACCTTTTCATGGCCTCTGGGTCAGAGGTTCTGGTATAAAGGTGCAGCTCTATTGAATGCTGTATACAAGGAAATATTCGCCCCCGTTTTATTTTCGCCCCTTTCGCCCTACCCTCATATGGGCGAATTTAAAACGGGGCGAACTCAAATAATACAGTATAATTTCTTAAATAAAACTATGACTGGGCGAATTTAAAACGGGGCAAAACTATTTGCAAGTGTGAAAAGGCGAAAATACCCCTGTGTACAGTATATAAGGACAATGCATAAATTCTTTGAAGACCTTCTTCTCTGTTACCTGGTATTATTAAAACAACCTGAATGCATACTTATGATGAGCAAGGCTTCCTCTTCCGATTCATGGCCCCAAGCTTGGGAGAGGGGATCTATTGTTTATATCGAGAAAATTAATTTAATTTTTTGAAATTTTTGCTATTGGGTAGTAATTAAACAAACTAATGTGTGGTTATGATAAGCACAGACCCTTTTACCAAAATTGTGAATTTTATTTTGATTCCAAAAAGAAATTTAGAAATAATAATTAATGAAATTGTATATTAATAAACGAACATATGATAAAATGTTTTGAAAAAAACAGTTCTCCAAATACCTGGTCAACATCGGACAGTGAAACACCTCCTGGAATATTTATGTCAATATCAGTCAAACCCTCCGGTACATAACCCGTGTAGACACTTTTCTCAAAAAGTGGGGAGTTATCATTTACATCCTGGACAAATAGTCCAAGGGTTGCAGTTGTCTGTGATGCATTGCTAGGATTGTCTGTTATCTCTGATGCCTATAATATATGAATATTTTAACATTTTAACAATAAAAAACTGTATTTTATTCATTGAATAAAAATGTTATTCTATCACAGTAAACCTCTCGATTTCCCTTCCCATATTCGGGATATCAAAAAATTTCCGTAAATTAATTTCCAAACTAATTGTAAAAAAGTACTGAATTAAGTTTAATTCCCATCAACTTTTTCACATTTTCAGTCATTTGGGTGTTTCATAAAATATGTTATATCCTTGAAATCAAACAGTTGGAGATATTTTTTTATGAGGGCAGGTAGTGGGTGCGTGTGAAGACCTATTTATGTATTTCGAGGTTTGTTGTCTTTTATTTAGCTAAGAAATAAAATTATATCATCTAAAACAATTAGAAACAGAATCGCGTGGAAGATATTATAAATCATAAAAATTGTAACCTTCAGTGTTATACTACAAAGTCCATTTTGCCTGTTGAATAATCCAAAATCTCTGTCTACTGGTTTTATTGTGTATATTCCACCAGACACAGCATTTATCCTTACATAAGAGGCACATTCTCCTGAAAGCAATGTAAAACAGCAATAATCTTTTGTATTGATAAGAATTATTTTAACTTAATTCATGTTAAAACATCAAAATGATACTTTGATATATAAAAAGATTAATCTGCACGTAATGAAGAAGATTGATGTTCAGCAGTGGAAGGGACTGAAAAATACACGTTTCGACTCATTGTAGTCTTAGCGAATTGTGAATTTCAGAAAAAAAAATCAATTTTTGCGGATGTACAGCAATATATATATATATATATATATATATATATATATATATATATATATATATATATATATATATATATATATATATATATATAGTTGAAAATAGTTCACAGTCGATGTCACACAGGTGAAAATAATTATAAAAGAAAAAGAAAATGAAGTTTCCAAATTTCATTTAACACAAGCGCTTTCTGGATCTCATAATCCGTCTTCAGGTGTACATAAATTGAACTGATTGTTTTGCTTAGTAACGTTAACTTTTTCACGTTTGACGTCATGAGAGTGTTTGCAGGGAAGGAAGTAATCTGTGACGTCATAGTATGGCTACGTTATTAAAAGTTAGGGAAAATCAAATTGGACAATAATGGACAATACATCACATATTTTTCAGTCTCAATAAACAAAGTAAACAGAAATTCTAATTGATGATATATAAAATTAGGTAATTTCTCAATGTTAATGTTTGTTCAGTTTTGGTGAAAAAAGATTTATGAAGTAGTTTTCTTTTGCTAATCTCATTGCAGTGGAATCGTTCCTAAGTTTATAAAAGGGGAACACACAGTAAGCAATCGTAAAATATCGAAATGTTCACTGCATGGCGTGTTAAAATATTTTAACTTAATTCGGATTGTTAATTTGTTGGCGATGTACGCGCATGCGGGCGGTTAATTGATTAATCTGGCCGATGTATTCCTCTCCGCAGTTGTTACACGTAATACAATAAAGGAGGTTTTTGCTCTTACAGGTCATATTTTCATTCACAAGAAATGTTTTTCCACACTTGAAAATAATTTTTGAGGATCCTGTTCGTAGGTTAGGACAGGTACCGCATTTCAAATCACCGCATCTTGTTACGGAATATTGTTCTGGAGTGGTGTTGAATTTAGCTCTGGTCAATAGTCTTTTTAAATTTGGCGGTTGTAATTTGAGGTTTGAATCAAATCCGATTTTGGTATAAGTTGATGAAGATCATTATCCCGTTCAATGATGGTAAAATTCTTTCTTGCCTCTTGAAATATATTAATGTGTTTCGGATTGAATGTTGTTACAAAAGGGATTAAGAATGGATCTTTGTCATGACGTCATAGTTAACGTTACTAAGCAAAACAATCAGTTCAATTTATGTACACCTGAAGACGGATTATGAGATCCAGAAAGCGCTTGTGTTAAATGAAATTTGGAAACTTCATTTTCTTTTTCTTTTATAATTATATATATATATATATACCTTTTTTAACAGTTACTAATCCAGCTATCACTCAAATCCAACTAAAACACAAGAGTATTTTCATCTTCCCGTTTGAGTGCATTTTACCATTGCTTTATCTTTCGATACATTTAATATATTTGTTAAAAAGTATTTTACTTTGATTCTTTACTAATCTTGATACCAGAATAGATATCAGTATTAAAACACTTTAAAAGGGGTACACACCTGCCTTTAGACTATATGATATGTTGCTCTGGAATCCTAAATCACCATCTACTGCGAAAACTTTTGTGATCAGGGATCCCTGAAAAAATAAGTAAACATTAATATTTCATCTCTAATTTGATCTAAATAAAAAAAAAATGATTTCACATCTTAACTTTGAGAAAAAGAAAAAGATCTACCATTGGTATGCCCTCATGTATGGAAACCATGTACGGCAATCCCATGAATATTGGAGGAGTATCTGGCACATCCAAAACTGTGATCAATAGGTCGGCTGTACTAGTCAGACTGGGATTACCACCATCCTTAACAACGCAAATTATGTTAATTATCACAATCAAAGATACATGCTCAAGGATATTAATTGCCTATCAATGCATGCATTCCATGCGCATGAAATAATTTGCATGTAAACTTATGCATATTTGTGTGCTGTACCGTTGGTTGATTTATTGAAAGCTGTTGTACGTTCCATTCGAGAGACATCTCCATATATTGAAAAAAGGCTTCAAATGTTGACCTTTACTCGGCACTTAGGGCCATTGATCAATGAGGGAACTTTATTGTGCCAATGCCTGCCGTAATATGGGGTCTCGGTTTTTAAGGTCTCTTCCGAAGGGCAGTACCGTTGGGGAACACCTTAAAACTGATGTGTGGCTTTTTTGAGGAGATGCAAGTTTGAAATGCGTTCGTGATCAAGATGAAGGAAAAAATTCTCTAATGTACTGATTACTGCACTTTAGAATACATTTTGTCATATATATATATATATATATATATATATATATATATATATATATATATATATATTTTTTTTTTTTCTTAATCAAAATTATGCATAAAATTAAGCTAAAATTCAACATCACAAAAATAAATTCGACAAACAAATCAAATTTTGCTAACACCTAAAAATAAACTGATATGTGACCCAAATATTAATGTTATTCAAGCAAACAATGTATTTATTAAATTGTCCATGAGTTATTTAAGTTTTGAAAGCAAATAAAATAAATTGGTTTTGGTGATAACACTTACCTTGGCAATCAGTTTATACTGATAGAATGTTAATCTTTCATAATCGAGGGATTGATTTAAAGTGATTTGTCCAGTAAGGTGATTTATTTTGAATGTTTGTCCATACAGTGCAGATGCCTTAGAAATGATAAAGTGAAAAAAAATATAAAAAATCCTGTTGAGTCAATCTTTGGTTGGATTTATTTACATTGCTATGGCTATTAAGATGAACTCTTTATAACTTTTCAAATAAAATAATCATATCTATACAAGAAAGGTAAATATTATTTTTTTAAATTAATCATTACCCTCATTTAAAGGAAAGGTTTTTTTCAGTTTGAAATGAAATTTGGGAATAATTCTCAGCAACGTATTTATTTACCTGGCCAGTAGACTGCAAAGGACAAAAATAGCATGTTAAGAATTGTTATCGTAGTAATCACTCAAACAAAATTTCTTATTTAATAGCAAACCAATAAAATTTTTCATTATAAGACTATAAACATAATTACCTTCATATCATAGGTCACGGATCCCCAGGGTCCGTTATCAAGGTCGGTAGCATGGACGGAGACGTTTATGGGAACAGCTACAGTATAATTCTATTTAAAAGAGATCACATTTATGTTGTAGCTAAAATAATAAATAGCTAGGAAATGTTGTATACAAGTATGAATAAATCACATACTAATTTAACAGAATCTACCTCTGGAACTTGGACACGGTACGCCGGTTGTGAGAATATGGGAGCGACATCATTGATGTCATTCACAAAAAGGGTTACCTCTAAGGCGGACTACAAAATTATTTTTGTTTTGATACTACAATAATTAAAATCTTTCAACAATTGAATTTCAAGGCCTGTAATTGCCAGAGAGATCTTACCGTAGGAGCATCCTTTTGACTACTAGTAGCTATGAATCTTAACAGATATTGTGATTGTCTCTGAAAAATAAACACAGTAGTCTCAGACTTATTGCTGAATGAGAGCTTTAAGTTTTTGTTTAGACTAAGAAAATATGTAAAATATTCCATTTTAATGCTTCAATTATATTTAGATATAATTCAAATTAGTTATGATTACTAATAAATCATAACAATAATTTAAATAGGAAGCAACGTAAATTAAGTCTATACTACTGAAAAATAGTACTATAAGAATTTCCATTCTTTGTTCACGTCATATGCTTTATATTTTTAATAGTGCAACACATAATTATAGATTTACAACCTCTCTATCTAGCTTCTTTTTCAGAAAAACTCCCCAGGTAGTACCACTTTGTGTGTGATTTACTGTGACGAGATCACTGGCTTCTCCCACAGCTTCAACAATTACAGATCCATGATTTCTGTCTCGTACTGTGATATTGAACAGCCCCGTACCTTTGGTTTATAATTGAGAATTTTTTATTGGAATTCATATGTTCTTCTATACTTGTCTCTTATATATAATATAATTTTAATTGAAAATAATTTTCAGAAATCGCAATTCATTTTTTTTAATTCAAAACAAGTTATCCGATGGACGTGATATTTTACTCAAAAGAGAATGTTTATATTCAGTTTTGATTGAAATACATGGATATAAAGAACAGTATTCAATCTCAAACGTTTATTAAACAATTCAAAATAGGAGCCTCCAAAACAGCAAAGCTTGGTGGTTAGATTACCATTAACATTTTATTCAAGTAAAATATCAAATTATGAAACAGATGTGTCTGCCTCTGTGGTAACTTTTATTTCAAGCTCACCGGGATAATACGTCGCCGATATATACGAGGGTTGATCCAAACGTTCGTGGAATTTCTTCATACATGTATTTTATTTATTTTAAAGTGGAATTGGTTGAAAATTACAAATAAAGATATAGACACTTGAAGAATATTTTAAATTAAAAAACATTTTGAATATCTTTGATAGTAACTCTATGGCAGTTGCCATAGAAACGGTTGTTTGGAAATGCGGGGGAGACATTAACGCGTTCATTATCATTTTAATTCTAAATACGTGAAATGAGAATTTAACCGCCCAATGTGGTATATAAAACAAAAATTATGTCATTATTACATTATTACATTATTGTCATCATTGCCTGATCTTTTATAAACCTCTGTGTGAGAGTTTTACTGGTTTATTGGATATTTTGTTTATAAGTTGATGATTTCTAGTTCACCTTTAAGATGTAAGACAACGTCAAATTTCGGTCAAGTCATAAGTTTTGTGAAAATCCCGGGATGACTCTATCTTGAACGCGTATATTAATGACAAAGGCTTGGGGAAATGCACTTAAATACTGGTTTTCCAGTGGCATAAGAAATTTACGAAAGATAGAACTTCCATGGACGTTGATTAAAGATGTGGTGGCTTTTTGAAAGCTTTGTTTTAAGTGCGTATCCCCCTAGATAAATTTCAAGCGTTAATGGACGTTGTTGGCCGCTGTACTGTTCTTGACATCGCTTCTGAAATTGGAACATCATATGGTAAGATGGGTAGTATTTTGGAATATTAGGGAAAAATGAAGTAAGTTGGTGCAAGAGGATACCCAGGCTTTTCTTGATAAAAGAAATGGAGAAAAGGCCAGCATTTTGTAGAATTACTTGCTAGAATTGGACATTGGTGTGAGATGCTACTATAACGTGACGTGACATATCTAACTTGACGTAACGTCGAAGTCTCCCCAGGGTTTCACAACTATCCATTTTCAGAACAATCGTGTGAACGTATAGGTAATTGAAAACTGATGAAATTTTCCAATATTGTAACATTGTGACTCTATATTATGAATATGTCTGTTGTTTGCTTTCATCAAATCAAGATAAAATTTTAAAAAGAAATTCCACGAACTTTTGGATCAACCCTCGTATTTAAATGTCGAGTTGAATTCTACACCAATAGTGTCTCTTCTTTTCATGTTCAAGATTTTGGGCAAGTTCTGTTTCATATGAATACAAAAATTGATCTGCTAATAACGGGGCGAAATTGGTACATATGAAAATTCCATAAGATTGTTGGAAGACCTGGTCTCCAAAACCAAACATAGATATTGTCAATCAGAAACCCAAGCACCTTTATATCAACTTCAGAGTACTTGTGTGTACAATCAGAATGTGTTAAGAAATTGATTTTGCAAATGACCAATGACAAGATAAGAAAATTTATGAGTTCCATTTTTTATTGAAAAAGCAGCTGGCAATGATATTAAAAAGTCTGGACTTAAATAAATATTTTAGTGAGGAGTGAAGAAAGAAATTTGGTAAAACATTTAATAGAATCTGATATGTATCTTTGTTTTTAAGGGTTGTAATGAAGTTTTGAAATCCAAAATAGATATGGCAACTCAAATTCATTCTGGTTGTAAGGAATATAAAAATATATTCAAATCTGACATATGATTTTGAAGAATTTCTTCTCTAAAAACCACTAGTAGAATTTAATCCCAGTTCCTCTAAAATACAATTTAAATATATATTATTAGCCTTACAAACAAATACATGTACAATGTTGTTACATTTGATTTGTCAGCAAATACCAGTACATACTGACTGTGTAACCTATCTACTTTTTTCAAATCTGAATTCCTGAACACAGAAGAATAGTTGGTTTTAAATTTGCCCATCAATACCTATATTTTCACGCATATTATATTCTATGTAATATAATTATTTTGATTCAAAATTGGATATCGAGTTTTGAGACTTCCAAATTTATTTTTACTCTATAGTACATCTACGGATTGTCATTGAATGAAGACTAATTCACCAAGGAGGTATTCTTGATCTTTACGTTATCATGATCATGACACTGCGGGTGTGACTGGTCGACAAGGGATGCTTACTCCTCCATGGCACTTGATCCCACCTCTGAAGTTTTGGAGGTTTGTGTTTGCTCTGCCCGTTTTATATTGTTTTATGGACTTTTGACCTTGAATACAGTTTGTTGTCTCCATATGTTTGATAAATTGAATGGATGTGCATTTTCCTATTTTCATAAAGACGATTGGAACAATAACAAAGGATTATTAAAAGCTCATCGATTACATATCGCTTTCACTCTGTACGGACACAAAGTATTTTAAAGAATTGCATAATGTCAGTCTTTAATTTAGTTTATATAGTTTCTATTTTCTTGTCAGATGTATAAGAAAACTATTTGCTTAATTCTTCTAAAATAATATCTTTCCAGCAAATTATTAGAACTTTCACAGCCCCTTTTACCAAAGCAGATTTATACATTTTAAATTAATATGGGTATTGGCGTGTCATATAGATTAAATGCAACTAATATTAACAATCAAATCTGACTATATAAGCAGTATAAGCAGTTAGAAATGGTTACGACAGAGTTTAAATGAAAAGGATTCCTATTTATTTTATTACAGTTTATTATTAAATACATAGACATACCAATATCAATGTCTTCATCCACTTCCTTTATACCATTGCCTGATTGCATTTCAATTCGTGGAGGAAAGTTTGTGGCAAACGTATTACCTAAATAAAGTTAGAGTGTTAAGAATTAATTATGTATAATGAGTCATATTCATAAATATAATATATTTGTACTTATGACATTCCCTTTAAAATGAGAGTATATAAACATGAGAATAAGTTTTCAAGTTTTAAAATCATTTTTTAAGTCTATATTATTCCGTCTAGTGTATTATGCATTCTCAGATAAAGGTAAACCTCTAAGAATTACCGCAGAATATGAAGAAGGCAGCAAAGATTTTTATATTCACTTTCTTCATCTTGTGTCAATTATACCACGATGGACACTTCACGGCAAAACGTCTACATAAAAAGAACTTCAATGGGTGTGTAAATATTGAAGAAAAACGTACAGACAAACAAGAAATTAGACGAAATTGTATATATAATTCTAGGAAAAGTTGATTCATTATTTTTTTTAAAAAGAAATTATTCTTTAGTCTTCTTCACATACATGATGAAAAAATGATTACTTATATGACTATCATAATTTCAAATCTAAGTCACTTGTTTTAGCAATTAGATTCTGGATGTATACAGAGATCACGCCTAATTTAATGCAGATAAGATGAATCACAAAGTAAATACATATAATACAAGCTTACAACGACTCCAATCTGAAACAGAATGATAAAAAATAGGAAAATCACATAAGCTGCAGTGCTGATTTCTACCATTTCCCTTTTCCCCATGAAATTCATCTGGCTTGGTATATTTTTCAAAAGTTAATATTACATCTTTGGCACCAAGCTAACAATTTTTTTTTCATCTGTAAACATTACTGAGTGTAATTTGTTCATATTTATAATTTAATTGAAGTATGAAGTAATATTTCCCAAGTCTATTTCATTTTCAAAGTTTAAGGAGAAAAAACTCAAAGATTTATCCATTTTTTAAAACATGTTACATGATAGGAAGTCTCCTCCAAAGAAAAAAAAATTATCATCTCTCCTTAAGACACTATTTACAAAAACATACTCTAACAGTACTTTTTTCTCTTTACTCATCATTAAGTTGGAACCTTTTAGATCTCGGTAGAGACGGAGAAGCCGTGTCGACAATTTTTTGAAGATTTTTTTTAATTCATAGGATTATAAGTTAATCCGAAAATGAGCATAAAAAGTGTTCATTAAAGTGTTCCTAATGCATTGAATGTGTATTTAATTATTAATTTTGTATGTTTAAATCATGTATAGAAGAATATCCCTATAAATCAGTTCAATTTGAGCTTTTTGACATTCACAAAATTTCAGTTTTAATTTTATTTGCCGAAGGTTTTAAATTGATAAAATGAAGTAAAGGATTTTCAAAATAAATCAATCTTTATTTTCAAGCTGTATGCAGTTCCCGATAAACAAGATAGGAACAGGAAGTAAAAACAATTAGTCATGAAAAGGAGTAACTCTACAGTTCGAAATAAGAAATTGAAACACATGGTTATCGGAATTAAATTAAACTAATTAAATAAAAAACACCGTAGTTTCTTCATTTGCTATATACAGGAAAGATAAATTGATAAATTGTTAAAAATAATGTCTTTTACATATGTGTCAGAGAGAGAGAGAGAGAGAGAGAGAGAGAGAGAGAGAGAGATTCCTTGAAAACTCAATAGCATGAAAAGGTGTGAAGTTAAGAGAATTGTTTATTCATAACTAGGCTTTAACTGTTTACCATCAGGTGTAGTTTATATATATAAACACGAGATTACTTCGTAAATAAGGAAGAGATATTACTAGCGGTCTGTATTTAAAATATCCAACGATTAGCTTACTTTTAATAGTTTTAATAATAGTTCGAGGTTAAAACCATTGCACAAATAAATACATGAATCAACCCTACCTTACAAATGAGAAAAAAAGACTTCAGGTTGGCAATAAAAACAGGTCTTCTATTATCATGGAACATTTGAGACTGATAAGGACAATGACTCAGTCAAAAGATATTTACTAATCGTTATATGCATTGTCATGTTAAAAATTCATATGTAAGTCATATTAATTAAAATTAATAAGATACACCTTTTGAAGAGGTACATGCATTGTATCTTGTTCGTTATATTCTAACTCATATACATGTTTTCTTTTGATAATTATATAATGTTAAGTTCAATCACTGTATTCTGGAAAGCTAAGATTGCCCCAGTTTATTAATTAAGAAAATATACAAAAGGAATCATTTATTTATCATCATCCTCACGATATATCCGACTACTGCAGTATCTTTATCTTTTTTTTTTAAATTATAGCTCCTTTAATTGAAAAATACCTGGGTTATACGGGAAATCATGCATTTATATCTGTTAGATAACTTATCACGCCTGTTACCGGGTGGGCTGGTAGATTTTATCGCCCCCTTTTGGAAAATATTACCGTTCTTGTCAGGTTATTCGTATTTTTAATGTCCCGCGTTTGATAACGTTGTCTTTATAATAGATAAGGTTTAATTCTCTAGAAACCTTGTAAAATTCTGACTAAAACTTGATTTTATTCCAGCGGGCGGCTGTCAATAGTGACCGTTTAAGGAATTTTCTGTTATCAGTCACGTGGTTTCCGTATCAATATTATCGATTAACTTACGTGCAAAAGGGAAGTGCATGGGAGTACGAAATGGACAGATTCAGGAAAAATGGGATATAATTCAAGAAACAATTCAATAAGGCACAGATAAGTTTTGCTTTGAATGTAAGCTATAGCTTTTTGCGCATTATAAACTGATAAAATCTTATTCAATGAATATGAAACTTATGTAAACATTTACATGTATCACCTGTTGTTTTGAATGAAGTCTTTAGTAAATTTCCAATTAACCTTTCCATCTTCAAAGGATAAAAACCGTTTTAAAAGATTTTATATGAGATGAATTAAGATGCTTATTGATAAGACTGAACATGGAAACTAAATATCTTATAAGACTGCAGTAACTGTGACAGTCACAATTACGAAACATTTATTGTAATCCACTTTTCTAAGAAAGGCTTGGTTATCTTAGTAATCCAATGGACGAAAAAGCATATAATTTTCATTTTTTGATTATTTTCTAAGAATACAGTTCATAGTTTAAAGTCTGATAACAGAGCTGAATTGCTGTGTGCTAATAACCCCGTATCTTTTTACCTTGCCTCTAACGTCTATTATCAATGCCGAATGTCTTATTTTTCAGTTTAATATCAACTTTAATTTGAATTCAGTATATGAAATGCAGTAAAAAACGTTGGATCGTAGATTTTATTGAAAATTATTGTGTTCACACCCAAAATAATATCACATACCTCTTTGTAAATTATGTTTACAATATAAGTTTCATAGAACCTTGTCAAAGTTTCGAACTTGTGTTGTATGCTTTTTGTTAATATCTTATTCATTTTTACTGATTCATTTAAATACAAACAAATTTCTTACAATTGAGGTACATGACAATCAATTCAAGTAAATGTGAAGAAGGTACAACAGCTCTTTTATTAGAATGAATATTTAATTCAATTCCTTTATATATATTCCTATTGGTTAAAACAATTATTACAGAATCTAGTACCTGGGCTTTCGGTATGTCAACATAAACAGAACAATGTCATTGATTTAACTGTCAACAGTTTTAGGAATTATCGCAAAGTTTCGTTAAAAATTGAAAGTGTAAAGTGTATGCGATATACCTGTACAGAGTTTCTATTCGTTGGATAAAACAAAGGCATGATAATCACACAATCAAGAAATCCTTTTTACATACACTAATTTTCCTGATTGTTTGTTTGTTATATGTATAAACAAAGAAATATTCTTTTCATTTAGCCAGATTGCATTGCATTGGAATACGGGATCTGATCGCTACACTTTGACAAAAATGAATATGAAAACATTTGCTGCTTTCCTCATCTTCTGCGGTAATTCTTAGAGGTTTACCTTTACCTGAGAATGCTTAATACACTAGACGAAATAACATAGGCATAAGAAATGATTCTAAAGAAAACTTGAAAACTTATTTTCATGTTTATACACAATCATTTTAAAGGGAATGTCATACGTACAAATATATGACTCATTGACTCATTATACCAAATTCATTCCTTACACCCTGACTTATTTTTATTTAGGTAATACGTTTGCCTCAAACTTTCCTCCACGTATTGAAATGCAATCAGGCAATGGTATAAAGGAAGTGGATGAAGACATTGCTATTGGTTTGTACTTGTTTGTACTTATTGATAAACTGTATTAAAATAAATAGGAATCCTTTTCATTTACACTCTGTCGTAATTGAATTCTAAGTGCTTATACTTCTTATTTAGTCAGATTTGATTGTTTATCACTTTTTACATTATTCACATTTAATTCCTATGTCACCTCAATACCCAAATAAATTAAAACAAGAGGCCCACGGGCCTTATAGGTCAACTAAGTATCGTGTAACAACTTTCAAACAATTAAAATTGGTTTGTGTTTTAACCCAGTGGCCATGAAATTCACAATTTTGAAAGAGGTACCATTGCTTATCATAATTGTAAGCTTATCATGCTTACTCTATTTACTTAATACTCAGAGGTAGATCAGAGTAACAAAGAGAAAATGCACTTTCACTTTATTACCACTTGCGCACCTCACCCCAAAGGAAACACTGACCCTGGGGCCACATATTCCAAAACTTTATCAAAAAATGGTTGATCAATACTAAAGAGGAGGTTTCAAAGCATTGATTTATTTTCAGACTATATACCCCCCCCCCCCGACCCAGGGGGCAAAAAAAATTACCATTTTGCTACATACACGTTTCTTCATCATAAATGTATATATACTTGGATCATTGGAATAAAACCCATGAGAAAAGGTAAAGATTTTCAAAGAATTAATGCATTTTCACTATATAATCAATAAAGCCCCGCCCTAATACCAGAACCCCTGACCCTGGGGCCATAAAATTCACAATTTTGGAAGTGGCACTCGTGCTCATCATAACTATGTACTTAGTTTATTTAATACCCAGAAGCAGAGAAAAAGGTTTTCAAACAATAATGCATTAATGAATTTTCACTACATGTATATAATCAATAGAACCCTGCCCTAACACCATAATCCCTGACCCTGGGGCCATAAAATTCCTAATTTTGAAAGACACTCTAGCTCATCATAACTATGTGCTTAGTTAGTTTATTTAATACCCAGAAGCAGAGAAGAAAATATTCAAAGAATAAATGCATTTTCACCATATAATCAATAGAGCCCCGCCCTAACACCAGAACCCCTGACCCTGGGGCCATAAAATTAACAATTTTAGAAGTGGCACTCTAGCTTATCATAACTATGTACTTTGTTAGCAGAGAAGAAGATTTTCAAAGATATAATGCATTTTCACTATATAATCTATATAGCCAACACCCCCCTAGGGCCATAAAATTAACAATTTTAGAAGTGGCACTCTAGCTTATCATAACTATGTACTTTGTTAGCAGAGAAGAAGATTTTCAAAGATATAATGCATTTTCACTATATAATCTATATAGCCAAGCCCTAGCACAAGAACTCCTTACCCTGGGGCCATGAATTTTCACAATTTTGATTCACGCCAACAGTTTGCCAGCTTGATGTCCAGTAGTAAAGAAGAAGATTTTTAAAGATTGCAATAATTTTGATAGTTTTGGCCCCACCCCTCAGGCCTTGGGGGGACCATAAATTCAAAATTTTTGTTTCCCTTTACCCATAAATGCTGTTTACCAAATTTGGTTGAAATTGGTTCAGTGCTTTTAGAAAAGAAGCTGGAAATGTTCAAATGTTAACACACGACGGACGAAAACGGATAGCAATAGGTCACCTGAGTTATCCAGGTGACCTAAAAACAAGGCTGCATTAATTGATAAAAGTAGTTGAAAAGTTTTAATAGTTTGCTAGAAAGATATCAGTATGCCAATATAAGAAGCAAATTGTTTTCTCATACATCAAGTTTAATGAAAATGAGATTGTTTACTAGTATTCAATGAACGACAATAGAAACTATATAAACTAAAAGAACTGAGATAATTCAATTCTTTAAAATACTTTGTGTCCGTACAGAGTAAAAGCGATATGCATTCGATGAGCTTTTAATAATTCTTCGTTATTGCTTTAATCTTCCTTATGGAAATAGAAATTCCTTATGGAAATACAAATTCATTCAATTTATCAAACATATGGAGATAACGAACAGTATTCAAGATCAAAAGTCCATAAAACAATACAAAACAGGAGCAGAGCAAACACGGACCTCTAAAAATCAGGTGTTGTCATGGAGGATTTAACATCCCTTGCCGACCGGTCACACCCGCCGTGTGCTCTTTGTCATGATCGGGAAAAACGGAAAAATCAAAAATGCCTCCTTGATGAATTATTCTTAATCTGATAAAAAATCCGTATCGTGATCAAAAGGTAAAAATAAATTTGGAAGGATAAAATCCACATACTCGTCTTTGTATCAAGATAATTATATTACATATAATATGTTAAATTAAATAATAGGCAGATTGAAGCCCACCTTTTCTTCTGTAGTGAAAAAAGTAGATACCGGTATATTAGAAAGTCAGTGTGTTCTGGTCCCTGCTGACAAAACAGGTACATGTACATGTAACAACATTGTCCTTGTTTGTCAGGCTCATTACAGGGTTTTAAATTTTGTATTGAATTGTATTAAATTGTATTTTTAAAGAGACTGGGATTCAATTCTACCAGTTGTTATCCAACTAACACTCATAGTTCCCTTTCTAAGGAAGAAATTAATCAAAATTATATGTCAGTTTTGAATATTTTTAATATTCCTTACAACCGGAAGGAATTTAATTTACCATATCCATACTGGATTCCAAATCTTCTTAAAAACTCCTTACAAACAAAGATACATAATGGGTTCCATTAACTGTTCTATCTCACTTAGTTTTTTTTTGGTACTGTAAACCAAGTATTATACGCGTGCGATAAATATCCGCGAGTTCCGCGAGTAACCTCTGCTCGCGGATATTTATCGTCGCGAACCAGTTGTTCATTATATTCCCATATCATGATTTATTCAGAGTTATTTGCCCGTTTTTCAATACCGATCCCGACGGTTCAACAAGTAATCACGGAAGAACTTTACTGTTAGTGTACAAGAAGCAGTTGAAATTTAATTACACACATTCAGAAAAAATAAAAACGAATGGCAAATCTAAAACTATTTGTCTAAAAGTGATTAAAATGTCAATAATCATTTCAGCTTGTGTTATTATTGTTCATTTATTGTTAGAGACGAGTCAGAGATAGCCTGGTTAATTACGGCTAATTATGGCCGTTAACCATTTATAATAATTAACCGTGTAGTCTTAGAAAGCGTCAATCTACCCAATTAGTATGAAGCACTTTTACAATTGAGAGTTTTAAATCAATTTTAATCTCAATTCCATTTTCGTATTTTGTTAAAATGCGTATGAAGTATATTCATGTTTTACCTACTTTAGGGGCGGATATAAGATTTTAAATGGACGCAATGCACAGAATGTTTTGAATAATGCATAAATACCATTTTACCTAGTTTATGGGCGGATATGAATTTTTATTTGATTAAAAAATACTCGTGGAAATAAAAATAATGTGACTCGTTCGCGGAAATAAATCGTCGCGGATTAGGACGGTCAGTCGCGAATAAAAAATGACGCGTATAATAATTAGTTTACAGTATTTGCGACCGTTAATGCTCGTTTTAACGGTGCTTCAAATATCAGTTAAATCAGCTTAGCCAATCAAAAAAGTGTTATTCCCATTCAATGCAACTATTTTGTTTGTTGTTTACGTCTTATTTTGATCAGCAAATATTTTTTTACATTGAAATCAAATGTCACGGACGGTTTTCATGCGTCGCTTGTTAGTGACGTCACAATTATTTAAAGCTTTCACGCTCGGCCAATTATCGAGTTTATGGTTTGGGATCAGTTTACGCTTTATAATCCGCGAAGCGGATTATAAAAAAGCGTAAACTGCTTCATACTCGATATCCAAGAATTAGCATTCCTTATAATTTAATTTTAAAATAATTAAACAACATGTAAAATTGTGTTGTTTTTATTAGTTCAAATTTAAGTGTTTTACAAAACTATACATGATCTAGCTTGCTTGTTTACATGAGGTAAGATCGAAACTGTTTGATTAAAGGTTTTTAAATCTGGATTTTTCAGAATCCGAAGGACTGGAAATGAGGGGATTGATGGATACAAATGATTCAGCTGGTTGTCAAGGTGTGTCCCCATCATTATACAAAATGTTATGCGTTCCTTTTTGGAAATCAACCAATGAGAGACAAGAATACAAACAAAATTAAATTATTTACGAATTTACGGAATTGACGACGGATTTCCCCCCGTTATTTTCCGATCATGACAAGGATCGCAGGGCGGGTGTTACTAGTCGGCAGGGGATGTTTACTCCTCCATGGCACCCGATCTCACCTCTGACGTTTTGGAGGTCCGTGTTTGCTCTACTCCTATTTGGTATTGCTTTATCAACTTTTGATCTTGAATAATGTTCATTATAGCAATATATTTCAATCAAAGTTGAATATATTTACATCTTGTTTTAGGTAAAACCACTTGCATTGGATAAATTGTTTTGAAAAATTGAAAATTATTTTCAATTATTTTTATTATGAAGGACAAGTTAAGAAGACCTTTTTAATTCCAACAAAAGTTTCTTAACTTTAATCCTTAGGTACGTGGCTGTTCAATATCAAAACACAAGACAGAAATGGTGGAACTGTAACTGTTATAGCTTCAGGAGAAGCCAGTGATCTCGTTGCAGTAAATCACACACAAAGTAGTACTACCTGGGGAGTTTTTCTGCAAATGCCGCTAGATAGAGAGGTTGTAAATCTACATTTGTTGATCATTTTTCCAAAATTAAAACATGTGATGCTAGCTAAGAATGGAAACCTTCATACTACTACTTTTAAGTAATAAAAACTTAATTTATGTTGTTATAGTTTATAACTTATAAGTAATAATAACTATATAAGTATAATTGAAGTGGTAGTATTAATTATTTTACATATTTTCTTAATTCAAATTTAAACAAAAACTTGAAGCTGTCATTCAGCAATGAATCTGAGACTATTGCATTTTTTTTTACAGAAAAAATCACAATATCTGTTAAGATTCATTGCAAAAAGCAGTCAAATTGATGCTCCTACGGTAAGAAATTTCTCACAATTGCAGGCCTTGCACAGAAATTCAATTGTTGAAAGATGTAAATTATTGTATACATGAAAACGAATTTTAACATTGTAGTCCGCCTTAGAGGTAACCCTTTTTGTGAATGACGTAAATGATGTCGCTCCCATATTCTCACAACCGGCGTACCGTGTCAAAGTTCCAGAGGTAGATTCTGTAATATAAGTATATGATTTATTGAGATTTATATACAACATTAGCTGCATTTTCATTATTTAAGCTACAACATAACCATTCCCGCATAAATGTGATCTCTTTTAATCAGGATCATGCTTTAGCCGTTCTCAAAAATGTTTCAATCCATGCTACCGACCCTGATAACGGACCCGGGGGATCCGTGACCTATGAAATGAAGGTAAGTATCTCTATAGTCTTTAGTCTTATAATGAAATATTTATTTGGTCTGTTATTAAATAAAAGTTTTGTTTGATAACAATTCTTAACATGCCATTTTTGTCATTTACAGTCTGCTGGCCAGGTAATTAAATATGTTGCTGAGAATTATCCCAAAATAATTTCATTTCAATCTGAAAAAGAACCTTAACGATTTTTTAAATGAGGGCAATGATTATTTTTTTAAAAAGTAATATTCACCTTTCTTTCATATATATGAATATTTAATTTAAAATGTAAAAAGAGTTCATCTTTATAACCGTAGCAATGTAAATAGATACAACCATAGATTGACTTAACAGGATTTTCTATATATTTGTTCACTTTCTCGGTTTCTAAGGCCTCTGCACTGTATGGAGAAACATTTAAAATAAATCCACTAACTGGACAAATCACTCTAATAAAACCCCTTGATTATGAGAGATTAACATTCTATCAGTATACACTGATTGCCAAGGTAAGTGATATCATTAAAACCAATTTACCTTTTTTGCTTTAAAACTTTATGAAAACTTTAAAATATAGATGTACTCATGATCACGGACAGTGAACAATATCCAATTTCATAATTACACTGTAATGACTTGAATGACTTCAGCATAGCCGTCAGATGCAAATTGAAAGTCCATGTTCAGTTTAGGATTTTTTTTGTCTTATCTCAGGCTATTTAAAGGAATTGGCAAATTTTATTTGATTTGCTGCATTCATTTCTATGATATTGAATTTAACATAAATTAATGCGTAATTCTTGTTAAAAACAATGCAAAGATGACTGCAAATGGACAAAAGGTTTTCTTAAGAGCGGTACATCTATATAATATGCTAAAAAATAAAGTATTCCCTGCATCCCTACCGAGAAAACACTAAATTTCGATTCAAACTTGCAAATCCTAGAACAGTTACAAATTAGTTTAAGGTTCCCTTTAACAATACAGTTCGCAAATATACATACACATGATTTTATTCCATGTACATGGAATATATGCAGTGATATTCATTTAATACAATGTGCTTGATATAGAAAATGGGAATATGTTTTAACTCATCTATGGGTATACCCAGAGTAAAACCGTCAATATTCTTTTCAGATACAACATATTGCCACACATTACAAACTCGGAATATTAACATATATTTGACGGAAATTTATTATTGTGGAAGTCAGGATAGATTTAAGTTAGCGGCTTTTAAAACGTCTCTTATTTAGGTGTTTATGCGCAAGGCATGAAATCTTCGATTTGAATTAGTGTAAACTTCTTTTCGACAAAGTTGGTAAAAGAATTCATCAATGAATGCAATACATTTACAGTACTGTAGCAATGTTTTCTTTCTTTCCATTGAAAACAAAAAAAAGTATTCAAATAGTATGTTAAACATATGTAACAATTTTTAGTACACTGTAATTGTGTCTGGATGTCACTTACTTGGCTATAATGATACATTTCTCGTTTACGTATAATTTTCATCGTTTTCTATTATTGGTTTAAAATATATTTTATTCATTGAATTGGATTGAACAGCAGGCATTAATGCCTATGATAGTTCTCTTCATAGGTCAAGGAACAATTACAAGTACATGTAAACATTGGAAAATCTATTATTGGTCTTGGTTTTTTACGCATAGAACGCTTTAATATAGTGAAACATTCATGTTTAAAAGCATCAAATCAATCAATTCCTCAATCTTCAATCTAAAGACAAAAGGAAACATAGCATATCACATTTGTGTAAGAATGTAACTTGATGCATGGAGACATTTTTTGTGGGTATCATTTGTTAGGATGGCGGGAATCCTTCACTCAGCAGTTCGGCAGACCTACTGATTACTGTTCTAGATGTTCAAGACACACCACCCATTTTCCAGAGATTACCATACATGACAACAATTAAAGAAGACTATTCTGTGGTAAATCTTAAATAATTCAATCTATTTCGTACTTTGTGATCAAATTAAAACATGAAAAAATTTAAATGATTACTACAATCCTAAATGAATTTTGCTAAAAGGTACAGAATTATGTATTTAAGAGTTCATTGATAATAATTCAAAACGAAGTCTTTAAAAAAATATTAAGAAATGACGATATGTTAAAAAAGCTGTAGAATTGTTCGACACTTAAACGATCGTTACTTATTTTTATCTTTCAGGGGAGAAGTATTTTCAGCGTTTATGCTGTTGATGGGGACACTGGGATACCAAATAACATTACATACAGTTTTTCTTCAGGTAATGTATAGTACCACTACCTCAAATTATAATTTAATATAAAAGAAACTTAAGTTCCATAATAAAATACCGGTATTCACATTTACTAAATATTTTCTTTTTATGAAAATCATTCCTCTTAATCAGTCTATGGACCATGAAATAGTCAGACACAGTTTTCAAACTTCCGGTAAGAAAGATTTCTTTAACATTGGGTTCTCCCGTCTATGAAAAATTAAATAATATATTCAATTCACAAAAAGTGTTTTATTATATAAAAGACAAGCATCATTTAAAATAATTGTCTGACCTTGTTCATGCGGAAATACGATTGCAACCATTTATTGCAGGAAATGTTTCATAGAGTTTAAACTTTCATGGGCTATACATCTTAGTTTGCTTTTTGTTTTTACAATAAAGTTGCAACCATTATTTCTGGACATAACATTCTTGCCATTTTTGTTATTATTTTATTTGATATAAGTAAACTATTGCCCAGATTAATAAGTTTTTGAAGAAAAAAATTAAATAACCAAAATAAAAAAAATTTATGTATTTCTCATTAAAATAATTTAAAAAATATTATAATTACAAGGTAACAACTGAAAAGTGGTGATAAATCCTCCAAATTCGGGAAAATAATTATGTAGGAAAAGTTTCTTTGGTATTCCATACCACGTAAAAATCTGGTATTTCATTATTGCTATCATTAATTCTAGCGATTTTATTTGCACATATACAGATAACGTTAACCTCTTATACGGAATATTTCTTCTAGCCATATTTAATTTGAGCGATCTATACACCCTCGATAAAAATGCCTAATTAAACGCTCGCCAAATTTTTTGCTTGTATTGTATATGGCACCAACAATTAAAAAAAAGTTTATAAATTTATCCGCCCATTTCTCAGATACAGAAATTTGCACACAGTTTCTCTCTATGGATCACATTTCTGGTGATATAACAATTAACAAGACAATGGACAGAGATGAAGGTCCCATTAAACAGTTACGTGGAGTCTGCACTGTGGATGTGACAGTAAGTTTATTGTTCACATACTTAAAGAGTAAATGATCAAAATTCATCAAACTGAATACTTAAAGTTCTGGTTAATTTGTTTGTTTTTATTTTGTGTAGGCTTCAGAGGTTACAAACAAGCCCAGCAATCTGACAGAAACAGTGAAACCATTCACTATCACTATAGAAGACGTGAATGACAACGGACCAATATTTAATAACAATACATATTATGGCTCTGTAAAGGAAAATATGATGGATATTCCCATAACAATATCTGGGGATGGACTGCATGTCAAAGATATTGACCAGGTAATAAAGAAAGGATAATCAGAAATTTTAGTCCTTGTTTCATTGTTAAAATGTATTCTGTATGAACTTTTTTAGTATATATGCAATGTTTCTAAACAAGGTTTCTAAAATATCTGGACAATTTACTATCATCTACAATTATCTACAAAACATTCTTTAATCGGATCTTTCTAATATTTCTAAACAAATTCAATCAACATGAGTAACTACCTATACTTTTATCGTCACATGTACGTGCATGCAGACACGTACCATAATGGGCTGTTCGGGGGGGGGGGGGGGGGGGGGGCTCCCACCAATAGTTTTTTTTAAGAAGTGTTTTTTTTAATTACGAATTTCAAATAATCAACATCCTAATTAAGTCTAGGCAAAATTCGGAAAATTTTTTTTTTTCAGACTCTTCATTGATGTCCTGCAGGAAAGACCCTCTTGCTACTAATCTACATGTACTTTGTCTTGACTACTACATGGGACGTGCATACAAACAATGATTTTGTTCTTTAATTTCAGATGGGAAACAATGAAATTATTATTCAGGTTTACAAAAACGACACAAATAATACATTCAACGGTATTGTGGCTTCTCCTAGTTTGGTTTACTCTGAGGGGACTTTTCTGCTTCGTCTGACGAATAACTTCAAGTTTGATTATGAAGAATACTCAGAAATTGATTTACTAGTAAGTATTTGAAACGTATAACTTCATTTGAAAAGTTAAGTAAATTATGTTGTTTTATTTTATTGTGTCCCCATGTCTGATGTTTTGGAGGTCCGTATTTGCTCTGCTTCTGTTTTATATTGTTTTATGGAATTTCGATCTTGAATACTGTTTGTTATCTCTATATGTTTCATAGTAATATGTAGCGTTTATAAGACATATTCATGAGCTTATGCGCTGCACATTAGTTTAAAACTATTTGATATAGAATTTATACCACATAAAATGAAACTGTAATATCACAAAGATCAATCAGGTATACCAAAATGGATGGCTGTAGACTGACAATGCAGTAAGGACCGAAATTTATGGAATGCCGTAACTGCCTTATGTGGACAACTTTCATTATATGCTGGTATTTTGTCATTATATTATGGTATTTTGACATTATATGATGGTATTTTGTCAATATATGATGGTATTTCGTCATTATATGATGGTATTTTTTCATTATATGAAGGTATTTTGTCATTATATGATGGTACATGTGTATTTCGTCATTATATGATGGTATTTCGTCATTATATGATGGTATTTTGTCATTATATGCTGGAACTTTGTCATTATATGATGGTATTTTGTCATTATATGATGGTATTTTGTCATTATATGCTGGTATTTTGTCATTATATGATGGTATTTTGTCATTATATGATGGTGTTTCGTCATTATATGATAGTATTTTGTCATTATACTACTTTTCATTATATGCTACAATTTTTCATTATACTACTTTTCATTATATGCTACTTTTCATTATATGCTACTACTTTTTCGTCATTATTTGAAGTCTCGATCAACAAGACGCTTGTCTCTATAACACAAATTCGCAGTTCCGCGATAGAGTGGAAGCGTCGGTAACGGGATGTTTCGCACCTATGCATGGTTCGAGCTGCGATGTTTCGCACTTATTCCGTTTCGCGCTGAGATGGTTCTCCCCACATTGTTGTAAAAATTGTGCTAACCTACGGAAGTTTGTTCAACAAGATCTTAGATTTTAAACATGTTATATGATGTAAATTTTGATATTTTAATCCTAACTCTAATGAAACCTAAATCGATGATGATGATTTTAAATAGATATAACATCGGGATCGGGATACCATTAACTAGTAAACTATTCGTAGTTCAAGGGAAAATGGCGCAAAATTCTGGTCTCGTTTGAGGTCGTCGTTTCGTGGATTCTGTGGTCGATACAGTGGCCTTGCCGGCAAATGCAGTTTATCGTTGAGTGGGGTGCTGACTGACGTTTTTCATACCAATTGTTAGTCCATTATTTGTGCACTGAGTTGACGGCGGATTTTTTCCGTTATTTCCTGATTATGACAACGAGCGCGTGGCGGGTGTGGCCGGTCGGCGGGGTATGCTCGCTCTTCCATGGCACCTGATCCCACCTCGGATGTTTCGGAGGTCCGTGTTTGCTCTGCTCTTATTTTGTATACTGTTTAATGGACGTTGAGATTGAATACTGTTCGTTATTTCCATATCCTTCTTCCAATATATGCAACATTTTTACACTTCTTGAATTCACCAGCCTTGTTTACCGGAAGTTCCGTATTCCAAACTCTCTATTCTTGATCATTTAGACGCTTCGAATCCGGGATGTTTCGCGCCGATTCTGTTTCGCACTGAGATGGTTCACGGCGGGATGATTCGCGCCGATTTAGGTGCGAAACATCTCACGATTTATTCTAAATATTCCATTACATTTTTATCCATTTTAAAACATTGTTTACCAATTATAAGATATACATATATAGATGTTGTGTGTTCAATTGCATGACTTAATAATATGCACTGCCAAAGATTACGGATCGTGTTCATTTGAGGATTTAATATTGTAATTTGTTGGAGATCAGAAGTTGAGAGTTATTAATTGACGTGTTGATAGTCACAGCCAGCAATAATTACTTAATTAGATGGCGGTATTATAATAAGCATGGTGTTAAAATAATTCATAATTATACACTCTGTATACTTCAAACACAGGCATAAATAATTATGTTTCTGCTACAAAAATAATCTTCTTGAAAAAGGATTAGAGTTAGGGTTAAAATACCAAAATTTTCATCATATAACATGTTTAAAATCTAAGATTTTGTTGAACGAACTTCAGTAGGCTAGCACAACTTGTACAACAATGTGGAGAGAACCATCTCAGCGCGAAACGGAATAGGAGCGAAACATCGCAGCTCGAACCATGCATAGGTGCGAAACATCCCGTTACCGACGCTTCCACTCTATCGTGGAACAGCGAATTTGTTATAGAGACAAGCATCTGCATGATCGAGACTTCAAATAATGACGAAAAAGTAGTAGCATATAATGAAAAGTAGTATAATGAAAAGTAGTATAATGAAAAGTAGCAGCATATAATGAAAAGTAGTATAATGACAAAATACCATCATATAATGACAAAGTACCATCATATAATGACAAAGTACCAGCATGTAATGACAAAATACCATTATATAATGACGAAATACCATCATATAATGACAAAGTACCAGCATATAATGACAAAATACCATCATATAATGACGAAATACCATCATATAATGACAAAGTACCATCATATAATGACAAAATACCATCATATAATGACAAAATACCATAATATAATGACAAAATACCATCATATAATGACAAAATACCATCATATAATGACAAAATACCATCATATAATGACAGAGTACCATCATATAATGACAAAATACCATCATATAATGACAAAATACCATAATATAATGACAAAATACCATCATATAATGACAAAACAACATCATATAATGACAAAATACCATTATATACTCAACAAAAAAAGTTAAGGGTTATCAGAACCTTCATTTATAATTTCTACATCGAAAAAGTATATATTAATTCACAATGAATTACATAGTTTCCTCTGTATAGTTCCTTCACTTTTGATAAAAAACTAATGATAATTGTTCACTTGGATTGAAGAACAAGATTACCAATCATGGATACTCTTCTATTCAAAGTGAATTTCCATATACAGTAATTGCATGATTTGTTTAATTCAAAACTATTATCCAACAACTCTCAAAACTTGGTATGGCCTCCCCTTGCCTGAATAACAGCCCTGCATCATAAACTAATGAGTGAACGGATGGATCTTTGTGGTATCCGATCCAATTTCTCTGAAAGATCAACTTCAAGTCCATTGGTCATATAAGGATGCCTCTGAAAAACATCCCAGACATGTTTAATAGGATTGCCTGGTGATCATATATAGATAGTCAAAATATGTTTGCTCTGTTTTGTCTTGCGTTATCATCCATTATAATGACTGAAGGATATATCTCTGTATCTGATACCGGTCAGTGCTCCATTTCTGATGATGTACAATTCCGTGGACCCCCGAATAGAAATGCCTCCCCACAACATAAAGAACCTCCTCCAAAGCGATCATGTTGAGCCACACAGCAGTTATACACGCTGTGTCTCCACAATCCTCTCTTTCCATCATTAAAATCCACACAGAATTTTGTTTCATCACATCAGTTTATAATAAATTTCAGAATTGAAATTTCCTTTACTTAACTACAGTATATTATACATAACCCTTAACTTTTTTTGTTGAGTATATAATGACAAAGTACCAGCATATAATGAAAGTTGTCCACATAAGGCAGTTACGGCTTTCCATAGAAATTCCTTTAGGAGAATTGTATGAATTAGCACATAATTAAATGATAAATAGTTATTGCCGATGATTGCAATTTCATTATTCATTTGAGCTTTGATGGTAGAATAAGGGGAATAATATTTCTAATTTCATGCATGAATTTTTTTTTAAACAAATGCATGAATTTTGATGCTAGTAACAAATAAACTGACCATTATTTAAATTATATACATCTTTATTAGCATCTTTATTGATACTATATGGCAGGCAACACAAGCGTTCATTGGAAAGCTTTATTTAAATATAGGTATCATTTCTTTTTATCATAAAATTATGCTTGGTACAAAGATTCATGAAAACAAATATAAATGTTGATTTTGTAATCTACATAATGTCAACATTTTTTTTATTCGTAACTAAGATAAAGGCAACAGACATGGGAAACTCAAGTATGTTCAGCAACTGTACTGTACACGTCACAATCAACGACACCAACGATAACGATCCTATCTTTAATCAAACAAGGAAATCCTTCTCTATTCCTGAAAACAGCTGTTTCAACACAAGAGTCACAAACATAACGGTTAGTTTTAAATACTCAAGTACAAATATCAAAATTATTATTTAATGTAACGAAAGAGATTTTTTTATTTTCATGCTATTTTTGAAAATAGTAAAAAATATTTCCAAAACAATCTGGTTTAAAAAATGCGAAAGATTAAATTGGCAACACGAATAATTTAATACTTAATAATAATACAAACATTACAATACAAATGAATATAAATGTTTCTTACAATTATCAACAAAATCTTTAAAACATATACATGAATTCTGAATTGAAAGACTTTATAGAACAATATGTGTTTGTAAAACACTGATGCCCCCGTATGGCAACATAATGAAGATTAAACTTTTCTTAGATGCAAAGTTAATATATTGGTACCCAAGGAAGGGTCTCTTCACTGGAAATACAATTGTAAAACATGAAAGCCTTATCACCATCTGTTCCCATGTGAAGTATGAAATCCCTAGACCTTACTCTCAAAAGTTATTGCTAAGGTCTGGAAATCTCCAAAGTCGAGGTCAAAAGGTCAAGGTTATGGTATCCAATAAATGCTCTTGCTACAAAAAATACATATGTGAAGTATGGAAGCTCTAGTCTTAAGCATTCAAAAGTTATGGCCAAGGTTAAGATTTTTTAAAAGTAGGTCAACTCTAAGGTCAAGGTCAAAGTTCTCGATATCAAATCAAAGGTCTTGTCACAAGGATTAAATATGGTACGTATGAAATCACTAGCTATTACCCTTTTAAAGATATGGTTAAGGTTTATTTTTTGAAAGTAGGTCAAACTCCAAGGTCAAGGTCAAAAGGTCAAAGCTCTTGGTATCCAATGAAGCGTCTTCTTACAAGGATTACATATGTGAAATATGAAAGCTCTAGCCCTTATCGTTCAAAAGTTATTGCCAAGGTTAAAGCTTTTTCATTAGTACGTAAATCTCCAAGATCAAAACGTCAAGTTTAGTGGTATCCAGTAAAATTAAGGTCTTGCCACAAAGAATATATATGTGAAGTATAAATGTTCTGGTATCTGCTGTTCAAAAGTTACGGACAAAGTAAAACTTTGAATTTGTTATGTAGAAGTGGGTCAAATTCCAAAGTCAAGGTCGGATTGTCCAATTTGGTGGTACCCGAAGAAAGGTCTTGTCACAAGAAATACACATGTGGAATATGAAAGTCACAGCTCCACTAAATCAAAAGTTATGGACAAAGTTAAAGTTTTTGCGGACAAACAGACAAACAGAAAGACAGAGAGACAAAGAGACCGACAGACAGACGGACACGATAAAAACTATATACCACCGAAACTTCGTTTACGGGGGCATAAAAAAATTGGAACTACCTGTTATAAATAATTCAATTGAGATTAAATGATTCTTTGAGGAGAATTTAAACGTAAGGGTTAAATAAATGCCTGAAAGATCTATATTATTTAATATGTAGTATCATTTCTTCTCAAGCCTGTTTTACTTTAAATAGACTTGTTAATTGACAGGCAACAGATGCCGATTCTGGGATTTTTACCAAAATTTCATACCGTCTGCAAGGAAGCGACAGGTAAAGATGTGTAATTTGATTTTTAATTTAACCAAGGAAACATTGATGAGTTCTGGAGGACATTTAATTATATATTGTAGTTTATAACTTTTCAAGAAACTTTAGCATTATAAGTGAAAGTGAAATTTAAATATTGCAACGTAAAATAAGAGTGGTTAACGATGGAAATTTGACCCTGTTTATCATACATGTAACTTATTAGGTAGTATTTGGTCACTTTCGTCTACAAGCAGTTAAGGATCCAAATGTATAATGAACCAGACTCTTTGTCTTTTATTGTCTAGTTCAAGATATTTTTGAACATTTTCGACTGTCCAGATATATAGATCGAGTCGATAGATGTCAAAGCTGCTTTTAGGAATATTTTTTTAAGGATGAAAGGACGGATTGCTTTAAAAAGACATTTTGTTTAAAAATATATGTGAACGTAGAACCTACGTCGTACGACATCATGAATTTAGCCTGTGCAAGATACATTATGACGTCATAAATAATTCAATGTTACTTTTTCCCGTACTTTACATTAGAGAAATCTGCAGGCACTTTTTTTTTACCTAAAGTGGACAAATCCAAGACTTTCTCATGTAATAAAATTACATTAATTGTGATAACTTGTGAATGGTATGCAACTTTTCTTAGGAAATGCAAAAATCCTTTAAAAAATGTTTAGCTGCCAACTTTAGAGTATAGTATCTTGATAAATGTGCCTTGATCATGAGTCAAAGATGTGTTGAAGATTGTGTATAATTTTTTTTTATGTCTATCATGAAATGATGTGCATTCCTTTTCATAGTTATTTGTTTTATTATTTATTAATTATTTTTTCATGGTTGATGTTTGATTACAAATTATCTATCTGAATATGATCTTTTTAAATAGAAAAATTCAATTCTTGAAAAATATTCACATAGTAAATCTGAAAGTAACCCCAAACAGTCATTTAACAATTCAACCCTGAGTAAGTGCAAAAAGGTCAAGAAAAGTAACATCGATAAATAACCTATATCTCGTTAGTTTGAGGGGAAAGGTAAATATTTTGATTATTTTTTATCATTTTGGTATGTTCTTCATCATATGAAAGATTGAAAACATTCTGACAAAGCCTTCTGAAAAAATTACAAATTAAGGGTTGAAAATCGACTAAAAATAATAGGAATTATTTGCTTACATTTTTTGAAAATGTGGACTTAATTTGTATTTCAATTGAATAGAAAAGAATTTATTTTTTAGAAATACTGTTTGATACTGTTTAGTTTATACAGTCTACGAATGACGATGTTTGAATAAGTATTTCTGAGATTTTTCATATTCTCTTTATGACAAGTACCCCTAAAAATAACTGAAAATGAGAAGTCGCAGTTTGTAATAACCATTCCAAGTTTCACAGGCTGCACTTCATGATATGTGCTTTTAACTGATTGATAAGCAAATGCTAACTTATCATTTTGAAAGTTTGAAAATCTTGTGACAAAGACTTTTCAGACATAGGTTCTACCTTAATATTGATTATACTCTTAATTTTACCAGTTTTGACATAGATAGTACCACGGGGCGGATTTTTGTCAAGTGTAATGAAAGCTGCAGTGATAAATGTAATAGTACAGACTGTGATAGCAGTTGCCTGGACAGGGAAAAGAAAGACACGTATTATCTCACAGTGGAAGCCCAAGATGGCGGCGGACGAAGAACCTCGATTTCGATTGTTGTTTATCTAAACGATACAAATGACAATAAACCTACATTTCGCGACAGTTCATATAGAGTGGGACTAAACGAAAATTCTACAAGATTTTCCACAGGAAATTCTGAATTCAAAGTTGAGGTAAAGGGAAAAAAATTGACATACATATAAAGACAATATTTTTGTAATTGCTTCTGGACCAGCACACTAAAATGAAAGATCTATAAATTGAAAGTAAATGAAAATATTCTGCTTTTCGCTTTGAATAACATAAATATATAGTGTTCCATCAATTTTCTCTTAAAGAAAAGTAATTAATATAGAAAAACTGAAAAGTTGAGCTCTTTTTATATCTGTTTTCTTTCAGCATACATGCATATATCATTGAATCTCCATTATGTCTTTTTAAAGTAATATGCATTACGAGTATAGATCATAAGTATTTAATTTATGCAGTGCAAAGCATTTTAAGGTCAGACGACACGTTCCTCCAAAATATATAATTTTTACTAAGAATTTGTCATTGAAGTTTATTTACATTTAAAAACAAGTTTCCCCAAGAAAAATAAGGATACCTTACCAGGCATATGGACAAGATACTACAGGGTCATACTTCTTACTTAAACTTTATGGAAAATCTTCTGAATGGCCTATATCACAATTTTTATTGTACTTAAATTTAAAAACATTTCAAAAACAATGTAGAAACCAGAGGATAATGACAAATATGAATAATTTTTGATATAATACCAAGAGATACAAACATATATTTGAGGAACGTGTCGTCTGACTTTAATAGAAATTTTACAACAAAAAAACCTGAACTGTAATATACTATTTCAAAGTCACCTGAGCTTCTTGAGGCGACCTATAGCTATCTGTTTTCGTGCGTCATCCGTCTTCCGCCGGGCGGTAACATTTAAATACTTTCACCTTCTTCTCTGGAACCTCTGAACCAATTCAACCGATATTTGGCATATAGCATCAATGGTGAAGGGGAGCAAAACTGTAAATTTCATGGATCCTGCCCTCTAGGGTGTGGTGGTTGGGGCTAAAAATCAAAATGAATGCAATATTTGAAACTCTTTCCCTTTACTCACGAACAATATGCAGCAAAACTGTTGGCGTGAAAGTAAGCAGAATTGAGCCCCCTACCCGAATTGTGAAATTAATGGACCCTTGCTCTTAGAACGGGGTACAAATGATTATAAAATTATAGTCAAAATGCATGGATTCTTTATATAATCTTTTAATACATGTAAACAAATAAATTATGTACATAGCTATAATATGGAAGAATACCTGATTCAAAATTGTAAATTTCATGACCCCATGGACTAGGGGCTCTGGTGTAAGTGCAGGGCTCTAAATATGATGTTGTGAAACTGCATGCATTTTTTGAAAATCCTCTCCGCCGCTCTATGGATTAAATAATAGAACTTTGTCCATAGTAGTTATTAAAAAGGGTGCCTCTTCATATACTGTGAATTATATGACCCCTGAGTCAGGGCTTCTGGTGTTAGACTCTTAATGATTATACAGGGAAAATGTATGAATTCTTTGAAAATCGTATCCTCTGCTCCTGGAAATTAAACAAATGAACTTTGTACATAGTTATAATGATTAAGGTGCCTCTTTTACAATTATAAATTTCATGGCCCCTGGGTCAGGGGTTTTTGTTTAAGAGTGAGGCTCTTATGACAATAAAGTGAAACTACATGAATTCTTTGAAAATATTGTCCTCTCCTCCTGGTTATTAAACTGACACGTGTGATGATCTAAGTATATAGTTGTGATGAACAAGGACTATTGGGAATTGCAAGGTCCCTTGGTCAGAGTTACCCAGGATTATTTGATAATGATAATTTACTGAAAATGAATTAATGCTTTGAAATGTTTCGATGAACCAGGGTACCTTATCCAAATTTGTGAAATGTATTACCCCGGGGTCAGGGGTTCCTATGGGTTGAGGAATTGATTAATAAAACTTACGTGTATATAGCTTTGATGAACAATATGATGTCTCTTTCAAAATTATAAACCTATTCGTAGCCTACGGTTTAAAACACATACTAAGTTCAGTTGTGGAAAATTGTTACATGATACTCAGGTGGCCTATATAAGGTTCGTGGGCATCTTGGTAATTGAAATAAATTGAAAATATTTTGTTCTCATTTTATCAGGCTACCGATCAAGATATTGGCAACAATAGTACAATATCGTACAGGATTTTGTCTTCCAATGATAACCAAAGTCTTTACAACAACTTTTCAATGGATGCAGAAAAGGGAATTGTAACAATAAACAGATCAATAGATTATGAAAGTTTACCAGACTCCATAAATGGACAAATCACACTCATCTTGGTCGCAGAAGACCAAGGGTCCCCGAAGCAGAGTTCAACCGTCACGTTGACAGTAGATATAAAGGTGAACATGTTGATTTTGAAAATAAAATCCAACAAAAAAGGGCTATTTTTATTTTAGATTTTCATTTCTATTTTGAAGAATTTATGCATTGGAATAATTTGATGATTTTAAACTTTTCAAAATTACAGGATATAAACGACAATGCTCCAGAGTTTAATCAATCATATAGCTGTGCCATAAAAGAAAATTCGAAAAGTGGTAAGAAAGATATTTATCAGATTTTGTTTTGTGGAAGTATATATATTTTATTTATTTTAGAAAATTAATTTTTAAATGCGATACTGGTTCATTTAGTTCAAAGAATGACAGTGGAAATTCACTTATACATGTATTTAAAAAAAACAATTTAATTCCAAATATTTACATTTCCAATGTATTTGTCCGAGATAAAATTACAAATTGTAAATGTACTTTATTTCCCCATCAATGTATTGGCGCAGTTCCAAAAAAAAAAACAAACAAAAAAAAAAACAAGTGCAGGTTGGGACAAACAGCTAGACAGAAGCAGGGCTTGGAGCACGTGGATTGGCGGAATCAGAGCATGTAAATATAAGGAATAACTGTCAGATTTTTCAATTTCATGACGATGATCAATCGATTGGCTTGCGTGATAATTTAATGCATAAACGCTTTCGGCGTTTATGCAAAATGATCACGCAAGCCAATCGATCGATCACATCATGAAATCGAAAAATAAGACAGTTATTCCTTAAATAAACTTACATCTTTTTTTACTGTCTTCTGCAATTGTATATAATATAGGAGCCTTTGTGGAAGTTGTGTCTGCAGTGGACAAGGATAAAACGATACCTAATAATCAAACAGCCTACTTCATAGAAAAGGGTGGCTCCGATCAATTTACGATTGACGGCACTTCGGGGAATATTACTGTTCAGATTGGAGCAAACTTGGACAGAGAAATCGTACCAAGTTACAATCTTACTGTGATAGCTATAGACAAGGGGGTTCCTCAGTTGACCGGAAGTGTGTCAGTAATTATAACAGTGGAAGACGAAAACGACACCCCACCATCCTGGAAGAATTTACCAAAGACTGTTGATGTGCAGGAGAATACAACTTTAAACAATATTATAACTTGTATTGGTAGTGATTTAGACATGGACAACAGTTTGAGTTATTCAATGATACCAATCAGCGCTATGAATATAGAGAGAAATCCAGTAAATGTGTCTCAAATGGAGGTAAATTAAATATGAAATATACTACATGCAAACCAATTCAAATATTAGTTCTTATCAGTTTTTAGGAAAAATTGACAGGACGCGTTTTGTGAAGTAACTTTTTGAATAGGAAATATGACATGTATTTTGTCATAGCTACTCATGGTTTTATGAATGATTAAAAGGGGTTAACATTTATATAGGGTATAGTAGCCATAAACAGCTTGTCTGGAAATGTGTCTGTTTTGAACGATGAATTGGATGCAGAAAAAGCGATTAGGTTAACCTTTAATGTGACCGTCAACGACGATAACACTCTTAAAAACAAGCCCAATGCTACAAGTATGTCTGGATTCTTGTTTTATTACTATAATAAAAATAAAAATAGTTGATATTCATAGTAAGCGGCATATGAAATTGTTTAATTGAAAATAATTATTACAAAAATATTTTTTTTGTTCAGAACAAAAATATTTCTGTAAAAAAATTCTTACATCTTCACATCTTTGCTAATATGGATAATAGAATAAACAGTTTTAAAAATCTGAAAAGATCTGCTTAGAATTCACATTTCCTTTACTTTCAGGTGAACTGACGATAAATATCCTTGATATCAACGATAATCCTCCTGTTTTTCCTCTTGAAACCTATTCTGCAAACATTCTGGAAAATGTCATCGATCATTCCTACGTAACATCAGTGAAAGCGACTGATGCGGATATCGACGACAAAAATAGAAATATTTCATACTACATAGATGACAAAAATGTTTCATTCGCTATTGACCATAAATCGGGTACTATATCGATAAAAAAGTGCTTAAAAAAGCAGAAATTTAAAATATGTAATTTTATTCCAACAGATACATTAATTTTCAAATATACAAATACATGTAAAAACATAAGATAGTGTTGAAAACCGCAATTAATAGTTTAATAAGAAGTTAAAGTTTTCTTTTTCAATCCTATAATTGTAGGTGTAGTTGAAAAGGTTAAAAAAGTTGACAGGGAAGAGAAAGATCAATGGAATGTTACAATAAGAGCTACAGATTCACTGTTCAACACTACTACTGTACTTAGTATCAACATTTTGGATTTCAACGACAACACGCCCTACTTCCTCAACGAAACATACGAATTTCATATCAAGGAAGAACTTTACAATACTACAATAATAGGGGAAATTTGTGCTAATGATAAAGACATAGGAGAAAATGCAAAAATTAGGTTTTCTATCACAGGAGGGAACGAACAAGGGCATTTCGATATAGACACAAACACGGTATGTTAAAATAAATCGAATCTAACTTTAGTTGAGATTTGTTTGAAATATTGTTTCAGTCTTTTAGTCGTTTGGATAATTTTTACTTTTGTTTGGATAAATTGTTTCACCTTTGCCTATTTTTTGTAGGGTGATTTGTTAGTCCAAGGTGATATTGATAGAGAAGAACAATCTACCTACTATTTGACCATAACTATAGAGGACAGCCCAAATGTCACAGCGGACACGAAGCGTAATTCAACACAAGTAGTTGTCTATGTAAAGGATGTCAACGACAATGCACCTATTTTCACAAATGATTCTCACATAATAGTTAAAATAAAAGAGACAACATCAGTAGGAACCATAGTTAAAGTCGCAGGTGCCATTGATAAGGATTATGGTAATAATAGCAAAGTATGGTACAGACTGGGTGATGGTGGAAATGTTTCGGATGATTGGTTTGGTATCAACACAGACACGGGTGCAATATACGTCGTCAATAGCTTGAAAGACCAGGCTGGACGTTATACATTAGAGGTGACAGCAACTGACAAAGGTTCTCCTTCCAAGAATACATCACTCTTAGTAGGAATACGCATCTTAGATGAAAACCTCCATGCCCCAAATTTTACTCGACTGCCCCCAGACTATACTGTGAGCCTTTATGAGGTACAGTATAAATATATATTATCCAGTGTATAAAATAATCATTGAAAGATTTGTTTGAAATAATAATTATTTGAAATAAGGAATGAATAAAATTTTTAGATTAAGAGATTATTAATCCATTGCACTTTATTCAGCCACAAGGATACAGTCTTGTTAATTTAAGCATGTACCGTTGGTCAATAATTTTTTTTACAGTGTGCAAAATTTAATACTTCCATATTTGATATTGATGCAACGGATGCTGACAAGGACTATGATAATCGCTTCATCACATACCAGTTCCGCTATCAGAACTCTTCCTCGGGACAGGATTTTGAATCATTCCATATAAATAATATAAATGGAAGGATATCCCTTGTCAAGAAAATTGACCATGAAATTACACCCTTCTTTACGGTAAGGCTTTTCTAATTAAATAGCTGCTTTGAAGAGGAATTTAAAACATGTACATGTATACAAGATATATGCATTCTATTAATTACTAAGTAGTTAGCTGATTTTAATGGACACACATTATTGAAATAATTTGCTCCTTGAAATTAATCTTAAACTTTTGCCAAAAGAGATTTTGTTTGTAATTAGAGATTGTACATTGCATAGAATTAAAAAAAGTTACATATACTCGTATATGTATAATTCAAATTAATAACGAAACCTTTTAAACGAAAATTATACTCATGTCTTTTATGGTAACTTTACCTGATGGATATACTTCAAACATATTATGTTATATTTAAAATGCACGTAAGTATACATTTAAGCAATGAAGTGTCTCTTGTAGATATCCGTAATATGTACAGATCACGGAGAACCACCCCGGTCATCCATCTCCCCGCTTTTAACGATACAGGTTCTAGATATAAACGATAATCCTCCAGAGTTCACCCAAAATTTGACAAATGGAGAGGTCAAGGAGAACAGGAATGATACATTAGTGACCACTGTCAAAGCTGTTGATAAAGATTCCATGGCAGTTATTCAATATAGTATAGAAGGTAATTAAAATTTGGTCTTCTAATGTCATTTATGGTTTGGTTTAAAATATATTCATTCAAATTAATGAAGTAGATTGAACAGCAGGCATAAATGCGTATGATCACTCTCTCCATAGGTCAAGGCACTATTACAGGTATATTCAAACATTGTATAAAATGTATGAAGAGTAGATTATCAATTGGTACATATTTAAAATGTTCATTTACTGGTCAAATATAAAAATAAAACAAAGTAAAAATTCGAATTCAAGGATTATATACTTTTATTAAAAACAAAAGCGCGTCTATCTGACACTTGACTGGAATTAATATGGGTGCGTTTGACATTTGAATTAAGGACATACGCAACGTACATCACCTACTGATAATTTTTCAAGATATTCTAAATTTAAACTTACAATACTATTACATGTTCTTAGACAAAAAATCAGCATGCGTCTCCAGGGGTTTTGAAAAGATATCAAATTGTGAAAAATTTTGCATTATTCAAAGAAAAATGCACAAAAATTACAAAACATAAATTCAACATTTTTTTTCATCAAAAATTGTTTTAGAAGAGGTGTACAAATCCATATATAGACATTAAAAGTATTGCACACGGGTCCTTCATTTAGTGGAACTCTTCAACTCCAGGGAAGAACCCAATAAAGTTCAAACTACATTGCGTATGACCTTAAATTTGCAATTTTTTTTATGTATCTGAGTTCCTTTGAAGTAGGAATGAAAATATTTCTCCGATAATTTGCATTGAAATTTTAGTATACAAACAAAAACCTGACAATATGTTGGTTGAAAAAATAGATCAAATGACAAGTGATAAGTGTTTACAAGGGCGTTGAAACTACCACAGAATTTACGAATTGCTGCTTTTAAAGGATAATTTTCACTCCCTGTAACATCACTTTATTATTTAGTAACCTGCTTTGCCTTTAACATTGATCGTCCTCAGAAAATTTTATTGAGTATCAAATAAGTTTATAAATATAAAAATATAAAAAAAAACATATGGAAATGAATAAGACTACATAATTATATCAATTAGGAAAGTTGATAAGTACCTAAAGTCTCGTTAATTGAGTTATTATATAGTTGACCCTAATCTTATATAGTCATATTTTCAGTAAAATATCCAAAAATGAATCAACAGTAGTATGGTCTTTGATGTCTTTATTTTCGGTTCATTTGGAGAATAAGAAGTGGACATGTGAATGAAAAAAAACTGTTATTATATAATTTATTTTGAAAAGATAATCAATGTTAACGTAACATTTTACTAGGTGCGTAATTTTTTTTTTTTTGAGTTTGACCAGCTATGGTCAGCCGACCATATCATGGACATTTAAAATATAAATGTTTCTAACAAACGAGAACATGAGTGCAGATCACACCCAAAGTACGTCCATCTTCATTCTAAGTATCGCTGCTGAATGTCCGATTTCTTCACGCACAAGCTCTCGTACAACTCTCTTTGCAATACTTATACTGGATATATAAAGTTATATTTTATATACGTACATTATATCTTATCCATTTCCAACAGACGGAGACCATTCACATTATTTCAAAATTGACAACAGAACTGGAGAAGTGAGAACATTTAAAGCTTTAGATCGAGAGGAGGTTGAAATCATCACGTTAACCATTAAAGGTTTAGACGTCACTAAGCCAGAAAATATTTCATCGCAGTGTGATGATACCGTGAAGCCAAAGTCAGACGCAACAATGAAAATCCATGTGGCTGTGCTGGACGAGAACGATAATCCACCAAACTTCACTCATACACACCTCTCTCAAGGCATTCTTAGTAGCACTAAATTTGGCAAAAGGGTTATGGACCTTACAGTGAGTTTTATTCTCCATGATGAAATAAAATGCCACTGTATGAAAGAGAGGAAATATATTTATTAATAACCAACATATTTTAATGCCATTTTAAGTGTTGAATTTTTCGGCAAGTCGAGCTAATCGTACTGTATATGAACCGGAATTTTCAGCTCCCTTAAAAGTATTAATGTAGATTTTAAGTGTTAACTTTTGCAGGAGATGGTATCTGACAGAGATGTAACAGCTGATAACCGGAAACACCAGTTCTACGCCACTTCCCTGACTTATAGTGGACCACTGAAAAATGAAATGGAAAGCAGATCAGAGAAAAATAACTCGATGGCATTTCTTGTTCATCTTAATGGTTCAGTGGTGACCAATATTGTGATTCCTGAGACACTGAAAGGAATCGCTAATCTAAATCTTCTTGCTAACGATTCTGCAGGGAATAGTACTGCTCATCTCAAGGTATGAATTTATAACAAATAAATATGACGTATTGGTTTCATTCTGTCTTCCAAAAAAACTTTCCTAAAGATCTTGCTATAAATTTATTTTCAGTTGTACATAATTAGTGTTTCGCAGATGGTTTCCATGAAATTCTTAAAACAGAAGCCACAGTTAGACGAAATAAAACTCGATGTACTAAAGTAAGAAACTATTTTACTAATCAATAAAAAAGACAATGTTTGATAAACATTTTTTTTTGCATGAAAACTATTTTATGACATTGTATATTTTGACTTTATAGAACCTATTCTATCATCATGGACGGGTATGCCTTTGTTTATGATGCGATGGAGGCTGATACGAAAGGAGGAAATCCAGACCCATTTACGTGAGTGTAGAAACTGTGTCATATATTTGAAAATGGTAAATATTTCCAAAACTAGTGACTACGATTTTAATTTTTTTTGCCTTTTATGTGTTAAAAGATTTATTCCTCTTTTTGGAAACATATTTCAAATAAAAGGTTTTTGTTGATGCCAATAGCTCGTGTTTTATCAGATTAAAAATTAATGTTATTTGATAACCTACAAAGGAGGGTTTGTTGATCTGTAAAGTAAAGAATAACCTTTATTTGATATACGAGGGGCGTTCAATATTTTTTGTCCAAACCATATTACAGCAACAAAAACAAAATAGAAATTTAAATCTTTTATTGCATTGCCTCAAAGTAATCTCCCTTGTATTTAATAAAGAGATGAAGTCGTTTAATCCAGTCAAAAACATTTTTGAGAAAGTTTTTTGTGGTATACCCCTTTAATACTGAAAAATAGCTGATCCCAGCGCTGACCGCTATTGAATACGTCTTCCAGAGAGAGCTTCTTTAAGTTTTGGAAACAAGAAAAAGATCACAAGACGAAAAATCAGGTGAATATCAGGATGCGGAAGTTCGACAACTTTGTGACGCTGTAAATAGTCTCTAGTAACTTTTGCTTTATGGGCATGAGCATTGTCATGCAGAATTTTAATGCCTCTCAAACTGGTATTAGGTCGTCTTTTTTGTAAAAAAATATCATTATAAAGTCCCGGAATTATACTTGAAGAATACATATTTCCAGTCACACTTCTGCACTGTAGGACTGCATATTGGACTACCAAGCCATTTGAGTTAAAAATATTGCGTATAGAGCTTTCTTAGAAGTTTGAGTTCTTTTTGCAATTGTTGGCCTCTTCATATTCTTTCCAATCCAAACCTGATATTTCTTTTTTCTTTCTTGTTGGAAAAAATTGACCTTTGTTTCATCACCTGTGACGATCTGACTTAGCTTCCTAGTGTCCATATTTTTAAACATTTTCAAAAGTTTTAGCACTTTTGTAAACGGTCCCTCTTCTGAGCTTTGGTAAGAATATGTAGTATCCACCTTGCACAAATTTTACGGTACTTTGATTTATTTTTTAAAATAGTAAAAACACTGCCCGTTGAAATTCCTACACGTCTTGCTATTTCTTTGACGGTAAGTCGTGCATCTGTCTTAAGAATATCACGGATTTTAGAAACATTACCTTTGGTGACTGCTCATGGTTGTCTTCCTGAATACTTGTCGTCGGAAACACGTGTTCTACCACCTTTAAACTTGCTAAACCATCTGTAAACTGTCTTTTTTGAAATAATAGACCCACCATATAACCGAACAAATTCTTCATATATTTCATATCGTTCTATACCAATGACACAACAAACAAGAATATACCATCTTATTTCAAGTGACTCCAAACTTCGTGTTTTACCCATAATCGATGTCCATTGTATTCGGGTAGGTCAGTTGCAAATGTAAGTGTGTGTTTCAGAGTGCACGGACTTGTTCCAAATTTTGTCACAATGTCAATAACAGATATAATCATTCCTGGATGACCAGATCCCGAATCGACTGATCTAATTTATATTGAAAACCATAATGGACAAAAATATTGAACGCCCCTCGTATATATATTTTTCCTTAATCATATGTTTCTATGTACATTTTATAAGTTATCTAGTCTTTTCATATCTTACCCTTATAATAATACCATTTTTTGAGAAAATAAATTCTTCTTTTACAATCGTTTGTTTTTTACCTCACCTGGGCCGAAGGCTCAAGTGAGTTTTCTGATCAAAATCTGTTCGTTGTCTGTTGTCGTTGTTGTTGTTGATGGCGTCTTCTTCTCCAGAACTACTGGGCCAATTTCAACCAAACGTGGCACAGAGTATCCTTAGGTCAAGGGAACTCATGTTTGTTCAAATGAAGGGCCAAACCCTCTTTAAAGGGGAGATAATTATGGATTAATGAAAAATTGATGGCATCTTTTAAAAATCTTCTTCTCCAGAACCGTTGGGCCTGGAAAGATGATACTCATGTGGAATCATCCTCAGGTAGTGCAAATTCAAATTGGTTCAAATCATGACCCGGGGGTAGGGCGGGGCCACAATGGCTGATCAAAGGTTTACATAGGAATATATCAGGAAAATCTTTTTAAAAATCTTCTCTAGAACCACTTGGCCCGGAAAGATGAAAATAATGTGGAAGCATCTTCAGGTAGTGTAGATTTAAGTTCGTTCAAATCATGATCTGCGGGGGTAGGGCGGAGTCACAACGGCTGATCAAAGGTTTACATAGGAATATTTAAGAATTTAAAAAAAAAACCTTCTCCAGAACCATTGGACCAGAAAAAATGAAACTCATGTGGAAGCATCCTCAGGTACTGCAGATTCAAGTTTGTTTAAATCATGACCCCCCGGAGGTAGGGCGGGACCACAATGGCTGATCATATGTTTACAGTTTAGGAATACGAAGGTTGTTAGAAAAGATCGCGGACACACTGAATTACGGAAAATCTATTGTGCACTGTGAAGTATGACCTATGTCTGAATAAATTCCTACATTTTGTTTATTAGTATGTAAAAAATCAGGTCCATTTACTAAAATCTTGAAAATTTACAACGATTTTTACTATGATGTCATAGGATTCACGGAAATCCCTTGACGTAAGGCGACGTGACAACCAGATTTCAATCCGTTATGCTTTGTCGCAGTTCTATAAATCTTTCCTTTCTTCAGATTTTTCTTATCTTCTTTCTACTTTAAAATTGAACATCTTTATCAAGACATGTTACTTTCTACTATATACGGATTGTATTGATTCGGATATTTTTGAGATCTTTAAAAACGTCTCTGCAGTAAATTGATCAGGTTTGAAAACTGCAAAACCATATAGGCACAACGTCCATGCGATAAGAGGGTATCGAAGTATCGATGGAGTTAATCATTCAAAATGTTAATCCTTCCATTTATATGAAGTCACAATCATTTGAAAACTTTTGTCCTTTGTGTGTGTAGGAAATTTCCGGCATCATCTTGAAAATTTTAATTTCTTTTTAGACATTTTACTGTCTACACACATAATTTTTACGTAGTGCAGTGCTCCATGACGCTCAATGACGTTCCGATTTTTGGCTGTGTTTTTACGTGTTGATCATTTATAAATGGCTATAAAACAGTCAATTATTCTCCAGTTTAATTCAAAATTTCTCCAAGTGACGTTTCATGAATACTTTAGCGATAGGTAAAATATCATAAATCTCTTTGCGCTACAATTGTGCAATTTTAAATATTAATCAAGAGTCTTTGTAATGTAAACGTGCCAAAATGGAGCATGCTCCGTGAAGCAAGATTTATCAGAATAAAAAAGCCGTTTATTTTTCAATGATCACCGGAGAGCACCAAATTTTTGTATATTTATTGGAAAATAGGTTAAGATTTTATCTGGAAAGTTTGACCGGTTTCGTGGAAATAGCGCGCTCACAATAGAACTTGTCCGCGAACTTTTCTAACACCCCTCGTATGTAGAAAAAATCTTTTAAAAATCTTCTTCTCGCGATCAGCAAAGTTACGATTGGTGATATTTATATGGAAAAATCCTCAGTTAGAGTTAATTCAAGTTTGTTCATATCATGACCCTTGGGGGTAAGGTGCGGACATAATGGGCAATCAAATCTTTACATAGAAATATAAAGGAAAATCTGTAAAACTCTTCTTCTCAAGTATGACAAAATTATACATGTATGCTAAAAAATTACTGATATAGTGACAGTTTCTCAAGTAATAAAAAAATTCACCTCCCTTCCAAAACAAGTTAAACTTTTTAATACTGAGCTGATTTGTGTTTTTAAGTAACCCATGTGCTCAGGTGAGCGATGTGGCCCATGGGCCTCTTGTTTTCTTTTCGTTTCCTAGGACTTTACTGAAATTTCATGTGGTAAACCAGAAAACAGACGAAGTTTTAGAGTCTGAAGAAGTAATTAAGTAGGTTTGAAATAGATAAACTTTAAACTTTTTCCTTTTAATAATTTCCATTCATTATACACACACTCATACACATATACATTTTTGGCGATCGGTTTACCGGTATCGTCTCGTATCCTATTTTCGATCGTATTGTATTTTTCGACCTATTATTCCCAATCTGCTTCTCGTGCATATACCGCTTACTACGCTTGGAAAAATACCTTTCAAGCACAACTGTAGTGAAAATACTCAAAATAATTAATTAAACGGAATTCCCTCTATGGTTTTAGTGCGATGTCACGATTTTTAGTCTTTTTACTAATGCACATTTTATCTGGTGATTAATCAAAGCCGTAATCAGTTAATTACATTTTTTATGACATTTTTCCGAAAGAAAAATAAGATCTCTGTCAAAGAGACGCATGAATATTGAAATGAATGGGTAGATAAAACAATTTTTTCTTATCCCGTAGAAATAGGCACTTTCTAACAGATTTTTACTGAAAAATGCAACGTAATTTCATTGAATTTTTTTTGGAAATGCACAGCTCCTGACAGATGGGTTCAATCAACGAATAAAATTTATTTGCAACCGAAATATTTGACTTGTTCAATGTTTTTTTGAAAGACAGACAATCGTATTTTTATTGTTTGGAATATCCAACGGATATTTAAAGCTAATACTGTTTGGTCGTTGATACTATATTTAGGTCGAAAACACAAGACGCTAATATTTTTGTACGTAAAAATGAACCCTTCCCATATTATGGCATATAAATAAAATAAACACAAAACTGCAATTTGAATTATATAGTTTTATTCAGAGACACATGCTAACATTTTAATCCCATAGTTTTTCAGCCTCTATAAAGTTTGTAAAAAATTAATAAATTTCATCTAAATAGGTCGAAAATACAATACTCCAGGGTACATTCTTTGAAGGTTTTTTTTAAAAATAATATTTCATCTGAACAAGATTTAATGCTTTCTGAATGAACTTTCTGACATGATTATTTTACTAACTGGAATTTTCATTTTTAAAACATATATAAATATAATTTCTATAAAGGGTCAATATCAACACAAAGCGATTTGTTCAGCACATAAGTGAAATCCTTGCCATCTTGCTATTTGGTGCACTGGGTAGTCCCTGCATAGTTTTTATTTGGCGTTTTAAATATATTTATGATCCGAAGTTTAAATATAAATAAGATAATATTATGAAGGTCAATCATTTGATTAATTTGTTTTTGCATACACAATTTCATCATTTATACAAATTGCAACCCGAGCAAACTGATTCATCAGATATAATAAAGCGATTTTTCTTCAAGTGGATTCATTAGGATGAAACTTTTTAAAACTAAAAAGCATGATGATCATTCACAAAATAATCAAGTTAAGCTACGGTAAACAAATTTAAATTGAGTAGTAAATATAATATAATTCATCTTACAAAAAGATGTGTAAGTTGTTTGGTCGAGCTCACATTGGCCATATCATTATATTGCTGTTGATATATTTTTTTGTGTATAATCTTGATTATTATGGAAGTTTTTTTTAATGTTTTAGTTTGTTGGATGGCGTTTCTGGACAGAAAAGTGAAGAACTCTCGAAACTCAGAGATAAATACTCAATAATGTCTATTAATGTAAGTTGAAGCACAGATTATTTCTTTTTTTTAAATATACATGTAAGTATATTATGAATAGTTGTCAATCATTCATGAAATATTGCTACAATGGAAAGAATTCAAACCCATCAGTCCTTTGAACAATACAAATTCGGAGCAGAGCAAACACGGACCTCCGAAACATCAGAGGTGGGATCAGGTGCCATGGAGGTGTGTGCATTCCCTACCGACCAGTCACATTTACCATGTTCTCTTTATCATGATCGAGATAAAATGGATTGTATGTTGTTAAACGTCCCTCTAGAGAATTTTTCACTCAAAGGGAGACGCCACCACTTGCTTGTCAAAGGAGAATTACTCAGCACACAGGTTCATTGAGCAGTGAGGGATCATTTCGTGCCAGCACTTACTGCGGCACGCGACGTCAGTTTATACAGTCTCATCCGAAGGACCGGTTTCCACGGTCCACAGTGGGACTCAACTCCTTACTTTACGAATCTAGAGCAGACGCTCTAACCACTGCGCCACGCGGCCGACTCGGATATACAATGGAAAAAAATCCGTTTAAGATGAGTGTGTAAGTTTTGCTCTTTAATCTTTGTTTAGCATTCTTATTGGATATGTTTTATTACAGGCGTTGCAAACGAAGTCGGCTGAACAATCAAGTCTTAGAGTCAAGGAGAGATACATATTTATAGCAGTAATAGTGCTCCTCAGTGTGATATTGTGTGTCATTCTGTATTTCTTCATCAATAGTACTTCTAGGTAGGTATATACAATATAATAATATTTGTTTTAAACCGAGTAAACTAAACAAGGTGTTTAAAACTTTCAATATGATTGCTTTATATATAATATCCTTGGCTTCGTCTCTTATTGCTTATACAGTGAAAGTTTCAATGGTAATAAATGATAGTGTGTTGTTGTTAATCTTGTAAAGAGATGTTTCTGGAAGATGACTCATGATGCCTCCAATCTTAAGAGACAAAAAAAAACTCTTAAAAAAAATTAAAACTAATGTGTGATAGAAACTTTTTTGTATTATTCCAATTAAGTTTTTATATTACCGTCATCTCAAAAAAATCACATTTTTTTCTTCAAATATGAATAAGATAATTATGTTATTGATAAAGTAGGACTTCCTCTAAAAGTCGTAAGAAGAAGAGATTTAAATATTTCACGTTATAAAGATATAAATTAATCATAGAAAATTATAGAATTTTTTTGTCAAATAATCTTTTTCTTTACCATCTTTAGAAAACAGAGCAAATCGATGATGATATTTAATGTAGAATAATATTTGCTTTGTCCCAATAGCAGCACGAATTTAATGGAATGATTCAAAACGTATCTGATGATTTCAAAGAAGTTCATGTTTATCTTAATTTTAACAGAAAAAGACAGTAAAAGAATTAAGTTACCTTAATCTTTCTAATTGAACATAAATTATGTTGAATATCATGAAAGTGAATAAAGCTGTCTGAAAAATAAAGTTTTTAATATTACAGGTACAAAACAAAACTAAAGGCCGCCAATATTCCAACAACAGGTAGGCATAGTTTAAGGAGTCCTCAATTACCAAACACAAAGTAGACATATCTGTAATATCAATTCTGTTTTGTTCCAGATCGAGGAGACAGCAAAAAACAAAGCATACATCTACCTGGGAGTAACGTTTACTCATCCACGTAAGTAAGGATGACTACGGGGGAGGGGGGTATTAGTAACCTTTCCCCTCTGCTTCCTTTTAAGGTAAAGCATAAAACTAGTTATGTATAAATGGTTTTGACAATTGCTACTACAAAACTGGTTAGTGCTCCCAAGATTAAAATTTTAAACTTTTAGCAATGATATATATTTAAAACAAATAAAATCAAGGGCAAAAAAATTACACTTTTCACGAAATAAAGCACCAAAAAATCAGTTGAAAATCTCCCCCTTTATTAATAGAAAAAATCCGTTGATGAACAAAGAAGAGGAAGTTAAGAGAAGCATGGAGAACCTGGACAAATTAGATGAAGTCAGTGTATCTGGAAGGTAACGGTTTCTTTTTATTTATTATTCATTATTTAGGTAACCATGCAATGATGGGTTTGTAACAATTTTCGTCAACAATGATATCAAACATCAATCTTTGTCAAAAAATTGAATTTAATAAACATTTTAGAGGTTTGTGGGCCATGTAGGTGGAACTATACTTTTAACGGCACTAGAACGTCTGTGATTCTGATTTCCTACCTTATGACATCAAATGTTTTTTATATATTTGCTGATAAATAGGATTAATCTTTACTGAAGTTATATGTATATATCTGAAAATTATGTTGGTGTAAGAAAATAAAATAATTTAGATAGTATAGAAAATATTCACCTTTTTTCACCATTCGATAATTTATTGGAACACTAATGACTAATTTATTCTTGTAGCGAAAACTCCCTGGATCCTAGTGATTTTGAGTATGCCAGGCGTACCCTGAACTCTGAACAGGGATTAGAAGAGAAGGAGGTGATAATGGAGATGTATGGGGAGGATAATGTACTGTCTGATAGTGAAATGGATGCTATGACTATAGCTCTCAGTCAGCACGAAAATCAGAAAAATGCAAAGAACTCCGCCATGAATGGTCATCTTTATGTCATGAATGGGAAGATCAATGAGGCATATGAGAGCTTAGAAACGACAGAAGTGTGATAAAGCGTTGATTATTGTGAATCTGAACTACACAAGTAAAAAACAAACGCATTAAGACTATGGAGACTATCAAAGGATTTTGATTTATCAATGGAAGGAAAATGCCCAATTTGAAAACGTACAGTTCTTCACAGCTGGTTTGTGAAGGACTTGCTTAAGTGCTTTATTCACAATTCAAAACAGTAACATTTATACAACCTTTTTATAGGTCAACATATACGTTAAATTTACATATCATATTATATAAATTGTACAATGTCGATATTCTTTGTATTTGGTTGGTTTCTGTAGCAAGCAAATTAGACCTTCTTTACTTGTTTTACACATGATTTAAAGTTATTGTCTTACAGATTTTTTCCCAAATATTTATTGAACATTTATTTATACATTTAAAAGATAACTTGCCAGCAGAACATTAATGCATTTATTTACACAGTTAAGATAAAAATCAAGACGTTAATGCCTTAAATAAAAAAAAACAACCAACGGAAATCAATGTTACTAGTAGGTTAGGAATAGAACGGCGTAACAAAACAACCACGTGCACTTATGTTTAAAGAAAATATTTAAATCGTATCAGAAACTTATTAAGAGTAAAACTTCATTAATGCAAATGGCATTTTCACATCACGTGAATTATGGAGAGTAAAATTTCTTGGAACAAAAATCTTTATGAACCCTGTTCTTTTGTACTAAAATATATGTGAAATTTGTTACACTCTCATTGCACTCATCTAATAAATCATTGAAAGAAAGATAATTTAAAAATGAAAAGAAATATGAATTTTGCAGTGATGTGATAAATGGAGAACTATTGATATCTAAGATGAACACAATCAAACGTTTACTTAATATAATATACCTTTGTTCTTCATTTCGTCAATCACGTAATACTCAAATAAAACATTACAAGGATCAAATAACACTTTCAACATACCATTGTTTTCGTTTTCATACATTTAATGCATTTTGATTTCATTTGACTTTCAATTGTATTTATATATAAAAATATTTGTGACGCTTAGAATAAATAAAGATAAGGTGCATGTATGATAGAGCGTAAAAATATGATGAATCAATTTTGTTCAAATCTGAATACAATAATATTTCAGTGCAGCATTGAACTATGATCATGTGAAGAACAGCTATTATTTATTTCTTCCTTGATAAAGGGTAGTTTGGAATGATGAAGAAATTTTGTATTGTATCGAATGGGTTTAAATCTTGACATACATATGTGCTTTCAGTTTCGTTATGCTACCACATCAAAAAAACAACAACAGAAGAACAATTGATATTACTATTTCCTAATGCCATGTTCATTGATTGCATGTAACACTATTCATAAAGGCATTTTTTTGCTTACCGTGATGTTGTCAAGAATGACAGGGAAAGTGTTGATTTGGGTTTGGGCAAGACTGATTTTCTTAAATAAAAAAAATTATGAAAATAAACCTACAGAGTATATTTGTAATCATTCATTTTGTTCATTTTACTTAATATCGTTTTTAATTCAAATACACGAGTTTCTGATTGGTTATATCTGTATGCTTTTTGAAAACCAGGTCTTCCAACTATGTGTTGGAATTCCCATGAAAACCAATTGCGTTCGATCTACTTTACCTATGCTGCATTCCTTAACTTTATTGAAATCCATACAAAGATACATCAACCATCACAAGAATACCAGCAGCCTTTTTTGAAGTCATCATTTCGTAAGTTCTACGGTCGTAACAATGACCTCGTCAGCAAATACAATTTATAATTGAGTCAAATGCTGGCTCACGTTTTTCATACTATTTGTTAGTCCATTGTTTATACACCAAACTGACGACGGATTTTTCCCGTTATTTCCCGATTGTGACTAGGATCACGCGGCGGGTTTGACTGGTCGGCAAGGGATGCTCACTCCTCCACGGCACCTAATACCATTCCTGATGTTTCAAAGGTCCGTGTTTGCTCTGCTCCTAATTTTTATTGTTTTATGGACATAGATATTAAATACTGTTCGTTATCTCCATAGCCTTCATACTTTACCAATCTTTATTTTAATTATAACATAAAAAATATTTAACATAACTTTTTTCCAAACGTCAGTTTCAACAAACATAAGACTTTTATTAACTTTCTACGCAACCATTCCTCTAAAAAAAATTTAAAACTAGGAATCTTGATTAAAAAGGCATTTTTTTCGATAAAAAATGGAACTCGGAAATGTTCGTCATTTGTGATTGGTCATCAAGAAATTAAATCATTTAAAAAATCACCGAAGTTTCTACCCACACATATTCATAAGTCGATACCAAACGGTTCTAGAGTTCCTCAATGAAGACATTTTTAATATTTGGATACAAAGTATTTAAACAAACCTTTGGAATTTCGATGGGCACTTATTGAGATTCTTAATTAGCAGACCTTTTTCATATTCCTGTGTAGCAGAATATATTGGAAAAAACATGAAAAGAAAAAAAGTAATTGCTTTGGGCTTCAACTCAAAATTCAGACGAGTTAAAGTAATAAACATGGTTATTTCCATTCATATGTCGACGCAATACTTCCCAGTGAAAGTCGAAATAATAATTATGTTTTATATTTGTTGTGATTATTGTCGATAATGCCAACTAACGCTAAGTGATACCCTCGCCTCCCAATGACAGTGTCCATGTTTTGCTATGGGAAACCCAAATATTATAACGGATCAAAAAGTAAAGTAGGAAGTCACAATGGCAATACGTAATAAAGATTCTCTGAAAATATCATCAAATTCTATTCACTGGTATGAGAGGAGTTGCGGATAAGAGATGGGTACCCCAAATTAAGCGTAAGCGTCGAACGGACATCCCGATTACCATATACCATTGATATCCCGCTTTTGAAATGGGGGGTATAATGATGAAATAACAATTAGCATGAAAAACATCAATCTAAATGATAAATTGTATTTGCTGGCAAGGTCATTGTAACGATCATAGAATGTCTCAACTTTTTCTATACTCAAGAAAGTGTTCTGAGAATGATCAATTTTTAAACCGAGATAGAAAACTGACTGATAAATTGATATTAAATTGAATTCAACTAGTTAGTTTTAAGGCAATTCTATGGATGTTTTTATAGCACATACAACCTAAAAATGTGTATAATCTTTAATACCATGTACTCTATTTTTATTCACAATATTTTTCTTTCGAACAAGTTACAGTCAATTGTCAGAATATGAACAAATAGAAAAAAATGTAGAGCATCATTTCTTAAATTCTATAGCCGAGTAATGTCTTTGTTGAAAATAAAGACTTTCACGTGGTCTGCCTGTCAAACATGGTTAATAAGGATCACAGAATGATAAACATGGTAAATATGGATCACAGAATTAATGGTAAACATGGTAAATATGGATCACAGAATTAATAGTAAACATGGTAAATATGGACTCTTTTACTTTTGGTGAAATCTTTCGAAGTTAAAGAGATATCTCTTAAAGTAAAAGAGATATCTATCTTAGTTTATCTTAAAAGATATCTCTTAAAATGAAAGAGATATCTTTTAAAAGTGTATAAAAAAGATATCTCACTTAGATAAGATAAGATAAGATGTTTATTTGGTACTTACAGGCCTTTGCCCACTGTACATATATAGGCATCATGTACATATGTGAAATAAACATTTAATACAAAGTGCATCGCAAGAAGAAAACAAAAACAAAGAGAAAAAAAGAATTATACTAAGTTGTGTTACCAAAGTTCATTTGAGATCATAAGGTTAACATTTCTTGTCTCATGGACAAACCTTTCTTTATGAAAACAGCTGTACTTTTGAGAACATTTTTGTCTTTGCTATTAAAAAGCTGATCAATACAAACTGATACATCTTTTGTTTGTGATGGACAATATTGAGACAAAAAATTTCTTCTCAAATCTCCCAACATCGGACAATAAAAAAGAAAGTGTAATTCATTTTCAATTTGTCTCAGGTTACATAGTTGACAAAGTCTATCTACACAGTCAATGCCTTCAAATCTACCCTCTTCAATACGTAGTTTGTGTAAGGAACACCTAAAAGAAGCTAATACCTGTTTTAGGGGGTAGCTTAGAGAGGAGAGGTAGCTCTCACATGCAAGCTGTTTTTTAAACATAGTATAGAACGCACATTTTGGTGAGTCTGATAATTGTGTATTCCAGTTTTGTAGGGCGCAATCTCGCATCCTTTGTTTTAATTCCGAGAGAAAGGCCTTTGGATATCCAGGTCCACCACTTAGCCAGACATCCCCGAAGCCGTAATGATTTAAAACTGATTTCAATTTAGAAACCCAGTTTGGTGTTAAACGATTACTGCACGAATCCAAATTGCAAAGCATCTGAAAACACTGCCTTGGATACCTCGAAGTTTCCATTTCTTGTAGTTTTAACCAGTATTTCACTGGTTTCATCATGTACGTCACACACAATGGAAGTCTTCCACATTCTCCTCTTGCCATAATATTAGTAGCTCTTCTGTTTATTCCCAATATCCACTTGCAGAAGTCGTTCTGTACAGCTTCAATCTCTTCAATGACATCTGTTCCCCAGACTTCTGCCCCGTATGTTAGGATCGGAACAATAATACTGTCAAAGAGTTTGAAACACACACTAGGTTCACGATTATTCAAATTTTTCAAGGTGTGCTTCAATATATTTAACGCTTTTCGTGCCTGTAGTGCTAGCGACTTGCAGCATTGGGACCATTTCAGCCTACAGGAGAATGTGATACCAAGATACTTGTAATAAGATTCCACTTCCATAGGTTGTCCATTAAACATCCATTTTTCTGCACCTGCAACTGCTCCGCCTCTCTTGAAAACCACTACTTTTGATTTGTCCATATTTACTGTTAAGTTCCATTTTGAGCAAAACTTTTCAAGTATATTTAGTTTTCTCTGAAGACCGTTAACTGTATCTGATATCATAAGAAGATCGTCCGCAAACAGGAGGGCAATTATGTCCAATATTTGGTCTGTAATGTATATCCCTTGACACTGCGAATCACGTAACATCTCAATGAATTCGTTTATGTACACTGAAAATAGCCATGGGCTTAATATGCGACCTTGACGAACACCGACATTACATGTAAAGTATTCAGTGATTTTGTTTCCAATCTTAACGCAGCTCAATACTCGCTGGTAAATCGACTGCAATGTTGTAATCATCTTTCCATGTACACCTTTATTGATAAGGCAGTAAAATAATTTTTTACGGTCGATAGAGTCGAATGCTTTTGAGAAGTCAATAAAAGCACAATACACTTTCCCACGTTTTTTTGTTAGGTATTTCTGCACTATCGATTGTAGTGTAAAGATATTATCAATTGTAGAATATCCTTGACGGAATCCAGCTTGTTCCTCAGGGATAAGTCCCAAGGTCTCTGACCATAAGTTTAGTCTTTTATTTAGAACTGATGTGAATATTTTACTACTGGAATCAAGTAGTGAGATTCCCCTGTAGTTATTGGGGTCTTCTCTGTCTCCTTTTTTGAAAAGAGGAATAATCACACTTTTATTCCAAGATTCTGGAAACTGACCAGAGTTGAAAACTTGGTTGAAAAGTTTCCATAGGAGGTCTCTCACGTTCTTGTTGGAATATTTGTAAAATTCATTTGGTATTCCATCTTGTCCTGGACTTTTGTTATTTCGTAATCCCTTGATCACTTCCTGAATTTCTTCTTCTGAAATTTCTGCATTAAGAATCTCATCAGTGTTACAAGAACATAAATCACAACTTTCCTCGTGTCGTTTTAGTCTGTTGTTGACATGTTCGGTAAAGTCATCTATTGTGGTATCAGCTTCTTCCTTATGGAATAAGTTGCTGAAGTATTCCGCCCACTTTCTAGGGGAAATAACTGATTGTCTTTTTACTATTGATTGGCTTGACTTCAGCAGTTTTATAGTTTTCCAGAACTCGGTAGAATCTTTGGTTGCTTCACACAATATGTTTTTCATAAGTTCTCTGTAGTCTTTTTCTTTTTTTACACATAGGTCCTTAAATCGTTTCTTGTATTCAAGGTATTCATCTAACTGTTCTGGTGCGCGTGTTGTTCTATATTTATTAAGAAGTTCACACTTTTTTTTCTTAAGTAGATCACACTCTTTGTCGAACCACTTTTGGTTAGTTTTTTCTGTATTTTTCTCAGTGACTTTTTCTTTTACTTCCATGTGCCTACCACACCTCTCCAAGACACCCCTCAATTTACAGACAGTTTCCTCTGTACTTAAGTCATCTAACTCAATTATACCATTGATTTCTAATACCACATCTGTAC